TCTCTGAGCCTCAGCTGCAAGAAGAGGGCAGCAGACCCCAGAAGGCTCACTGAGCCCATTAGTGCCCGTCCCATCCCAGAAGCTCGGGCAATGCTCAGCCACCGGAACCGTGTGTCATTCCCCAGGACCCTGTTCAGGGCAGAGGGGTGCTGGAGTGGGGACACTCTGCATCCTGCTTTGGTGGCCTGAGGTGAAGGTTGGGTGTGGCCGCTCAAGAGACTCCAACAGCCTGTCCCGTCCCCCAGGTCAGCTCTGCGCCCCTCCTCGGAGCTGCCAGCAGAGTCCACCCTCTTCATGGAAAGCCCCAGGCCGTGGCCCCCTGGTGATGGCATCCGACAATGACGTGAAGATGTTGCTGAACTTTGTGAACCTGGCCTCCAGCGACATCAAGGCGGCCCTGGACAAGTCCGCGCCCTGCCGCCGCTCCGTGGACCACCGCAAGTACCTGCAGAAGCAGCTCAAGCGCTTCTCCCAGAAGTGCTCGCGGCTCCCGCGGGGCCTTCCCGGCCGGGCCGCTGAGCCCCACCTGAAAAGGGGGCCCGAAGACCGGCCCGGGAGGCTGCCCCTCCACTCGGGCCCTGGTGCCAGCCCCGGCGGGGGAGGGGGCTGCAAGGAGAAGGCTCTGGGGAACCCCTGGAGGGAGGAGCGGCTTCCCAAGGAGCAGAGCCCCCACGGGCAGACTCCCGAGGCTGCCAAGCCTGGCCAGGTGCCCATGAGGAAAAGACAGCTGCCCGCTTCCTTCTGGGAAGAGCCAAGGCCCACCCACAGCTGTCCCTTGGGGCTGGAGGGGGGACTGGGCCCCAGGGAGGGACCTCCCTACGAGAGTAAGAAAAGTTGCAAGGGCCTGGAGTCCTTGGGGCCTGAGACTGCCCCGGTGCCCATGTCCCCAAGGGCACTGGCTGACAAGGAGCCCCTCAAGATGCCCGGGGTCTCCCTGGTGGGCCGTGTGGATGCCTGGAGCTGCTGCCCCCTCCAGTACCATGGACAGCCCATGTACCCAGGCCCTCCAGGGGCCCTGCCCCACAGCCAGGTCCCCGGCCTGTGCCTGTGGAGGAAGAGCCCAGCCTCGCCCGGGGAGCTGGCTCACTTCTGCAAGGATGTGGAAGGCCCGGGGCAGAAGGTGCACAGACCGGTGGTCCTGAAGCCCATCCCCACCAAGCCGGCTGTGCCCCCGCCCATCTTCAACGTCTTCGGCTACCTCTAGCTGGGCTGGGAGGGACTCGGCCCCCTCCTCCAGATATCAGGGGCCCCAACGAGCTCTCCTTAGGAGGAGGGGGCTGGGCAGTGGCGTGGCCTCTGGGGCATTCCAAACACCCCTTCCCTTTGTGTGTGTGGGGCAGGGCAGGGCCGCACCGGTGGGGCTTCTCAGGCAGTCACCAGCCAGCCCTGCAGCCTTGGCAGCTGGGGGGCGGGCCCGGCGGGCCCCTCCCTGTCCGGCCCAGCAGATCATCCCCCTGACCCCTGGCTGACTATGGGCCCTTGCCCACCAGCATCGCAGATGCCAGTTTCACACCTGTCCACTGTGAGCCAGTGCCACTTGTTGTTCTGTTTGCTCTCTGTAAATATTAAGAAGGTTGAAAGAATAAAGGCGTTTCTTTTGCAGTTTCCACGTCGTGGGTGTCCTGAAGCTTGGCGGCCCCAGGCCTGGGAAGCCCTGGCTGTGCCGGGGCTGCGGGCTGCCTGCGGAGGCCAGCAGCCAGGGGAGGCCGGAACTGCAAGAGCCTCCACAGAGTCTGGGGATGGGCGCTGGGGCTGCGGGTCAGAGCACAGGAAGGAGGGCGGCGGAGGGCGGGGACCCCCAGGACGGGCTCCGAACCCGCGTCAGAAGACAAGAGGCCGGGCAAGGCCAGACCTGGAGGGTCCCCGCTGCTCTGGGCCAGGGAAGCGGACTGCAGTCTGGCTCGCTGTGGGCAGTCCCATGGCCAGAGAAGCCGGGCCCAACCGTTCAGCCCCTTGAGGACAAAACAGGTGGTTTGACCAGACTGTCCCTGTTGTGAGCATAGCCTCGTGTTCTAAGTCCATGGGCAGAACAGAACAAACCCCCCAAACCAGACCCCAACCAAAACAGCAAGGCCACGACCTCTAGCAAACTCAGATCCCAGGTTCCTGCCGATTCCTGTCCTGGTCACCTCTCCGTGGAACACAAGCCTTCTGCCTGTGCCGGCACAGAGGGCCACCAGTGGCCAGAGGTGGCCCTGGCTGACAGGACTCAACTAGTAGAGCCCCTGCTCACAGCCCAGAATCGCTCTGCTGCCCTGGCGTGGTCCTGTGGTGGACAGGGCTGGGCCTTCAGGATACGGAGCTGTCCAGTTGATCAAACAGGGTCATCAAACGGGGGCCAGAGGAGACGGTGGCACCTCATCAGCAGTAGGATCCTGGCTGAGCTAACCCCTGCCATCTACGGCCTCCTCATCTGCAGCCCGTGGGCCTGGGTCAGGGCCTCCATACGGCTCTGAATCCCCTCAGCCAGCACGGGCTCCAGGATTAGGGCTGCGTCGGGCCCCTCTGACCCTCCAGGAGGCCACCGGAGGGCAGCTCGCTCACTGGGTGGTTCACATCTGGTGGCCTCAGAAGACTTTGGAGCCATAGGTGCTGGCAAGACGGGGCAGAGTTTCTCTGAGTGATTATCTGACATTTGGGAGGTGGGAGGTTCTCAGCTGGACCCGCAGCCCCAGACTAAGGGGCCAGGATGAGGCATGTGCTTTCCTCTGCTCCCAAGCGTCATCACACAGGCCTTCTGAAGCCCGTTTGTGCCTCAGTCACCGCCCCCAACCGTACAGCAAGGGGTTAAATCTTGCATTCCCAACCCTGTCATCTACCAGCTGTGTGATACTGGGCAAGTTACTTAACCTCTCTGTGTTGAAATTTTCTCAACCAACCAAAAAAAATGAGATGGACCACAGGCCCAGTACACAGATCCCTAAAAACTGCACTGACCACAAGTCCCCTTCATACTTAAATGGTGGCGTCTAAAGGCCCTGCCATAGTAAATATCCAATCAGCCACACTCCCCAGAGTGCTGCCTGAGCCCAGTCCTGCTGAGGTTCTTGGCTGGAAACCAGCTTGTCCCCACTGGGGCTTGACTTTCCAGGGGACCCCTGCAAACCCATGCATCCGAAAGTCTGAGGCTTCATTTCTAAGACACAACCAGAGGCACAATGAACCCCCACATGGAAAGAAACTGGGGAACACACCTGCGTGCATCTGGGGAGGCTTTGAGCCACAGCCCCCGGCCAAGAGCACGTGAGGGGACGGGGCCAGCAGGGCTCCTGCCTCTCAGCGTGGAGCCCACCGCAGGCTCAGCACGTCTGCTCAGGGCAGAGTCGCTGCCCGCCTTCCAGGACAGGAAGGGTTCTGTGATGCTGTGTGCCATCTCTGAGCCTGAAAACCCTCCTGGGCTGGGTCACGTGGCAGAGGCTGTCAGTTCTTCTGAAGGAAGAAAAGGCCAAATGAAGAACACAGGGACTCACCTGGGCACCAAGCAATTGGAACTGACCACTGGAGCAGGCCCCAGGCCAGGCCTTGGTCACTGGATTGTGGGCAGGAGGGAGCAGGGACCTTAGAAGGCCAGGGCTGGGCAGGGACCTTGGGAGGAGGCGGACCAGACCTCTGACCCAGTGATGGACAAGGATGACCCTGGTATATCCCAGCTCAGGGGACCCAACCCCTGCACTCGGGGCCTGTATTGAGCTTGGTGGCTGAGCTCCAGGTCCTACCCCTCCCACCCGGGTCCCCCACTCTAGCACCCTAGTCTCCTCAGAGAGGTGCCCCGTCCACCTGGACCTCTCAGGGAGCCGACTCTGGGCTACTGGCTGTCAGGACTCTCTGGACAGGATGACCCGGGCAGCAGGTGTTTGCCTAATGCCCACCCTGGCCCGCGCGCACCTAGCAGCTCAGCCTGGCCGTGATGGCCTCGCTCCGCCCCTGCACCGCCTCTGCTCAGGTTGACCGGCAGTCATCGGACGTGGGTCGGCAAGCCCTCTTCCAGTCGGGGTACCCAGGAGCTGAGCCTTACCAGCCGCTTCCCCCTGCGCCCCAGGGCTGAGATGCCCAGTCAGGGAGATGCCACGATTCCTCCAGCCACACGGGGAGCTGCAGCCCAGGGGCCTGTGTGTGTCCAGGCACGTCTCCTTCCTGCCCGGGCCTGTCTCCTACCAGTACACGAGGGCCCGGGCAGGATGTGGCTGGGCCCCGTCTGACCCGGGGCTGCGAAGTGCTGCTTCTCCTGGGATCTCCCGTCCAGGGACACCCGTGCGTCTGAGCAGAAAGGCCACCAGGGGCCCCATGGCTCACTGTTCAGATGAGGGACCAGAGGAGCCAGCCAAACGGGGCTGGGCAGTGCTCGCCCACAGGCCCAGCAGCTCACCTTCCAAAGGCCCAGAACTACCCCTGGCCTTGGTGAAGATCCCACCGGACCCCAGGCTGGCCGTTCCTGCCCTGCTGAGGCTGTGAGCACCCAGATGCGAGGCTTCAACCCAGGTGCAGAGAGAACACTGAGGAGTTAGGGAGCTCCCACGAAGCCGGGCTGCGGGGTCTCGGCCCAGAGGCCCCTGAGAAAACCCCACGACGGTGGCGAGCCTCATCCCCTCACCCCAAAGCCTGGCTCCCCCATGAGCCGCCAGGGCCAGGGCTCGCTCTCCCCAGGGCCTCCGCTAGGGCTGCGCCCGCCCGCTCTCCGTCCGGCACATCCACCACAGAGCCCGCCACGGATTCTTTTACTATCTCAGCTTCTGTCGCAAAACAGGGGGCCAGGAGGCTCAGCCCTGGTGCCAGAAGACCTGTGGGCACCGACACCCTGATCCCGATGAAGCTCCCGTTTCCACAGCGACCCAACAGGACAGGAAAACCAACTGGGCCATGGGGTCCCTCCTGGTCAGTGAAAGATACACCTTCTTGGATGACATGTTCCCCGTGTCTCGTCCCCACCACTGCCTGGAGCGGGACTGAGGACCTCAGGCCTCAGGGGAGTCTGGTGAAAGGGATGTCGTCGCTGGGCAGGGTGACATGTGTGCAGCATTTATTGTGCTCAGTGAAGCCCTCCAGACCGAGGGACCCCCTCCCTGGTCCTGGCCCCGCTCAGAGGTTGAGGTCAAGTGGGGGGTTACACGAAGTGGTGGGGGGAGCACGGGGAATGCTCTGAAGCAAGGTCACCCCATCCCAGAGAGGCGAGCCCGTGCCTAGGAGTCCTCCAGCACAGTTCAGGTGGAGGCCAGGGGTCGCTATGGCCCCCACCTTCCCCGGACCCCCTCAAGTTCTGTCCAGGCTCCGGGATGGAGCCCGCCCCTCATTCCCAGTGGCAGAGAAGGTCTGGGCTCTACTCCACAGTCTGAAAACAGATGATTCTTCTCCGACTCCGGGTGCTGTGCTCTCTGCTCTGGACAAAGCTGGGGCACAGACCCGGCAAGACACGGTGGCTGTCCCAGCCAAGAGGGAGGCAGCCTGCAGCCTTGTCCTGCCCCTGGTGCTCCTGGATGTGGGGACACCACCGTCCTGAGACTTGGAGAACATGTGCGAGGGGCCACTCGGCTTCCCAGGCCCTTACTGGGTGTTCTCGTATTTCAGGTATCTGATCAGTCTCCCTGGGAGGGGCAGCGTGTCCAGGAGTTTGATGCGATACTTGCCAATGGCCTTTCGAACCTGCAGCCGGCAAAGGTGAGCCAGGGGTCTCGGAGGTTCTGCAGAAAGGAGGGAAAGAGACGCTGGGTACCACCGACAGGGGTGTGCGTCTGCGCCTCTGGCCCAGGGAGGCCCTTGGGTGGCACAGCTAAGTGCGAGGGGTGTCTGCTTCTGTACCCCCGTCCCTACAACTGAGGAGACCTGGCAAAGTGCCTTCCGCTGTCACCCGCATGGATCTGCACTGCCCCAGGAAGTCAACAGGGTGAGTACTGCTGCCCCCATTGCACAGCTGAGGAAACTGAGGCTCAGTGAGGTTCTGGGCCTTACCCAGGAGGCTCTGGGATAACGCTGGCCTCTCCCTTGTCTTGAGCTCCTTCCTCTTCACACACAAGGAATTCACTCTATGCCCTGAGGGCTCACAGTCCCACCAGGCTGCCCTCCAGTCTCCCTGGAAGGCCTCTGGCATCAGCTTCTCAGCTGGGAGGCAGGGTGGGGAGAGGCCGGGCAGGGACCATGCACCCAGTAATGGGCCATTTGTTTATTTGGGCACATGGAAGGTGTTTGGCAAATCAAAGAACGTCACCACATTCATTAGCAAGCACTCGTGCCCCCTTGCCACCACAGACCCATAGCGGCCCAGGAGTTGTGAGAAGGCTCCACATCCGGTGGGGCCAGGTGGGGAGGAGCCAAAGGTGTCCCAAGACGGGAAGGCAGCAGGGGCCACGAGCTGCAGGTGGGGTGGGCGGAGGGTGTGGAGGGAGGGACTGAGGAGGCCCAGGGCCACGCACCACCTGGTACTCCTGGCCCACCCACCCACCCCTCTGCTCTCCCATGGGATGGATCCTGCCCTCTGCCGAGGCAGCACCTTCCCTGGGGAGGGAAGAAAAGACTCAGGTTGGGGTGGGACCCAAAGGAGCCCTGGGGGGGGGGGGCGCTGTGAATCAATGCCCTGCTGCCCTTCAGGGCCTCCTCCGCCTCCTGTCCAGGATAATGAGGTCAGCATCAGAGGCTCCAACACAAAAGCAGGCGGAGAGGGTCCTGCAGCGGGAGGTGGACCTGAACCCAGAGGTGCTGGTTTAGAGCTGTCGGTCCCCTGGGCTGACGCTAACAGAACATCAAGGGCCCTGGGGTAGGCTTAGCTGAGACACTGCCCCTCCCTGGGGAAGGCAGCCGGGCAGCAGCGGGGGACAGAGCCAGCGGGGCCCAGGTCCAGACATGGACCGCTCCACCCTCTAGTGGCCAAGGATCAGGGTGCCAGCTGCCAGTTACTCAAGAGTCGAGGAAGGTTTGCTTTACACAGAGCTGTGCCTGGAGAGTGGCCGGTCACCGCCCTACCCTGCTGCTGCTGCAGTGGCTGTATCAGAGACATCAGCTCAAGTGCTCTTCGAGCAGCTGTGCTAATGGAAAACACTAGAGTCTGGGTTCACGGAGGGGCAGGATCAACAGAGAACTGGGGAGTCAGTGTCGGGGAGCTGAAGCAGCAGTCTCATGGGACAGGAGCAGCTGTGCGGAAGTGGCAATAGCCTGGTGGAGGTCAGACTGCATCACCTGATTGACAGACACCTGGCCAGAGCCCAGGACAGCCCTGGGCAGCTGAACTCCTCCGAGCAGATGTCCACGGCTGTCACCAATACTGCTTGTGACGCCTTACCTGCCCAGGTGAGTCCATAATGCCTAAGAAGGATTCTGGCCTCCCTGGACTGAGGAGGCAGGCGGGCTGACCCATCTAAACTGTACACATGAGCTGGACAGTGGCCAGACCCCATTTCCCTGTGCCAGAGCTGGGAGGGGCTGGGCGGTGAGCCTGCCCCAACTCCTCTGTTTGGGTGGGAGGAACCCTGGCCACAACTATCCTGCTTGTGGCTGGTAAGGCTGGCTCCGAGCCCAGGGTCTGCTCCACGGCAGATCTGGGGCCACAGGTGATCTGTGGGCCAGCAGCACCGGCCCCACCCAGAAGCCAGTGGAATGCAGTGTCTCAGGCCCACCGGCTGCTGATTCCAGCGGCCTTCCTGACAGAGGCCCAGATGCTCAGGCGCACCGTCCAGTGGACACACCCCATCCCCATCCTCTCCTCCCCCTCCACACTGCCTCGGGCCCCAGAATGTGGCAACAGACTCCACAGCCCTCCTCAGGAGGCCAGACACTTCAAACAGCATGGGTGGACGTTGGTCAGACCCGGGTATGAATCCCTGCCTGCTACTACCTAGTGGGGTGACTTTGGCCCTGGTGACATCTCTGAGGCTTGGTTTTCTCATTTATCATCTAAGGAGGCACCAGCAACACACTGCAGGTGACAGGCAGCACAGTGCAGAGCCTGGCACTACCCATTGGTAGCAGTCACAGTCCCCAGGGGGGTGGGGACCTGCCAGCGGTGGCAGCAACAGCCCCTACCTGCCTTCTCCTTGATGATGGCCCAGTCCTCGAAGCTGTCAATGTGCTCCTTCAGCCGGGAGCAGAGCTGCACGTTGCCCACGTAGTCCAGGAGGACATCGATGATGGGCCCCGCCCAGCGGCTCACCTCTGGTGCCGATAGGACCTCGCAGAACTGAAAGGCAGCACACGTTCAGGGTCCCTGAGGCCAGGAGGCAGCCGGTGCTCCCGGGCGAGGTCCACTTTGCAAACCTTTTCCCCTCAACACAGACCTCTCTCGACACAGGCCCCTAGCCTGCGAAGATGGGCACCTTAGGCAAATCACATGGTCTCTCTGAGCCTCAATTCCTTGTCTGCAAAATGGGTATATGCTGCCCATGTCAAGGGGATTTTTAAAAATTAGAATTCAGGTAACAGACACAGAAACTTCTTTGTATACAGTAGGCAGCCCATAAATGATGGTCACGAACCATTACAACAGGATGGCTCTTCATTTCCTTTTCATTTTACAGACTGGTTTAAACCAACATCACGCAGGTCCTACCTCTGGGACAGGGCTTTTCTGCCCTCTCCTAACCTCACTCCTGCCCTCTGGTTCCTGCCGCTCACCACCACATTCCAGGTGCCACTCTGCAGGGCTGATGAGCCTGGGTTGAGTTCCCTACCAACTCCTAGCTGCACTGCTGTCGTCTTAACTGTCCAAACACAGCAGAACAAAATAAGGATTTATTTCACCATCCAATGTGACCCACGAAGTTCTGCTGCCCCTGAAGGTGCTAACCGCCAACCCGCTGCCTCCCAAGGAGCTAACTACAAGTTTACACTCCCTCCAAGGCCCCTTAATCGCTAGTTCCCACCATCGATGGAGCACTGACCACTAACCCACACTGCCTCCCACTCTCATGGGCCTCCATGCTCTGCTGCCCCTAACGCTGTCCACACTCTGGCCAAAGTGTGCTAACCACGAGTCTACACTGCTTCTAAAGTACGCCGACACCTGGCTCCACCACCTCCAAAGCACATGGACCGGCAGACCACCCCTGGACCCCACGATGCCCGCACACCTGGACCACGCTGGGCTCCTTGTCCACGGGCGCCTCGTAGAACCTGCCTGAGCGCTGCGGAGTGGGCGGGTGCGGGCCGTTGCCGTACAGGCAGGAGAAGCAGGGCTCCCCGTTGCAGCCGAGGTCCATGAGGAACTTGAGCAGCGACAGGCACTTCATGGCGAACATGATGGTGGCGGGGAAGGAGGTGGGGTGCGTGGTGATGTAGGCGTCGATGTTGGCGCCGTGGTCCAGCAGCAGCTGCATGGTGCGCAGGCAGCCGTGGCGGATGGCCACCAGCAGTGGGTTGATGATGTCGCGGTTGGGGTCGGCGCCGGCCAGCAGCAGCAGCTCGGTGGCATACACATTATTGTTGACGACCGCGAAGTAGAGCGCGGAGGTGCGGCGGTCCTCGTAGAGGCGCGCGCGCTCGGGCGCCAGCGGCGTGTTCACGTCGAAGCGCGCGTCCAGCAAAGCCTCCAGCACCGCGTCGTGGTTGCGCTCTGCTGCCAGGTGCAGTGGACTGACGCCGCTCCGGCGCACGCGCGTGCGACTTGTCACTGGCAACAGCATTTGCACGATTCTGCGGGCGGGCAGGGCAGGCGTGGGTCACTGGGTGGCCGGCAGGTCAGGCAACCCCGCCAGCAGAGGGCACCGAGGGGCAATCAGGCTCATGACTACCACTTTGGGGGCAAAGGGGGTTGTCTCTTTCTGTCCCCGTTTTGTAGATAGGGAAACTGAGGCTCAGAGAGCTTCAACCATCTTCTCTAATTCACAGCCAGGAAGGGGTGGAGCTGGCTTCAAACCCAGAACCCTTGCCTTCCAAAGTCTGGGTTCTTAAAAAAACACCTCAGCCAGGCTAGACTGTGGCCCAGGAATCTCCCACTGACTTGTTTCAGGCTAAGGGATGGGGTTGCCCATTCCCAGCCCAATAATCTGGAGGAATTGACTGGCGGTCCCCAAACCTAGTGAACGTCCAGGCTACTCCCTGCAGGAGGCAGCAGAGCCTCGTGGTAAAGTCCCTGTGTCCCGGGGCAGGACACCCAGGAAATTTGGTTTGATCTTTACGAAAACACATGAATCACATCTCGTCATTCCCACTCTGCAAATGAGAAAAGCCAAGGCTCAGAGAGGTTAAGGGGCCTGCCGGGCCACACAGAGAAGGCAAACCAGGGGTTGTGCCCTCCCTCTGGCTCCAGGCTCAACTGTCCTGCCTCAGGCCCTGGAGAAGCCAGGGGTCCTGAGGGACAGGAGAGAACATACTTATCTGACACAACCACTCCTGCCCCAGGCTGGTTAGCCAGCTGTGTCCCCAGATCCTCTCTCCCTCCTATGAGATTCAATGCCCCCTCCCCTGAAGCTGACCCCAGCTTCCCCCAGCTTGCCTTTGACCTGGGGAGCCCAGTGGGCCACTGCTAAGGCTGGTGCTCCCTGCAATGGGACCCAGACACTGATCTCAACCCTCTGACTCCTTTAATCTCTGAAGTCCTCCCAACAGCCCTTCTAGATGAGGAGATGAAGCCCATAGAGGGTATTCGACTTCCCCAAGGTCACACAGCCAGATAGTGGGGGGCCAGGACTTGAACCCTGAGGCCAGCTCTTAACCCCTCCCCTACTTCGGATAGAGCAATCAGAGTGACAGCTGATATATCTCGGGGTTTTGATCTTCACAATGAGTGAACTTACCTGCCTGGTTTCCCTTCACTGAAGCCCTGTGGGGTGGCCAGAGCAGACTGTGGACTTCTTTTGAGCCGCTGTGGCTCAGAGAGCTTAATAAAAAGGCATGCAATAGCTCTCGGGGCTCAACCCCAGGACCCCTTGACTTGGCACTCTTCCCCTAAACCCCTGCTTGCCCCCAAGAACAAGCACCTGCCACCGACATGATTCCAGACCCTAATCTGTCCAGTCGGGGCTGATAGGTGACATCACAGCCCTGTGTGCTGTTCCAAGAGGTGGCCGTGAGGGAGGGAGGGAGCAGGTGCCACCAGGCTGGTTCCCACGCCTTTCCTCCTCTTGGCACAGGGAATCTCTCTGGCTTCCTGGAAATCTGATGCCAGCAGCCTCCTGCTGGGATCTCAGTGGAAAGTATTATTATTGTCAGTGACACTGTGTTTGGCTAAAATCTGCCTCTTAAACCTCAAAAGAAAATCCACACACCCTGGGGGGCTAATTGCCTCCTAATTTTTATTTGTGCAGGCCCTGGAGGCCTGACCTTGCTCTGCAGAGGTGCTGGTCAAAGGCAGGGCTGGGGCCTCGCCCTGGACCACGGCCATGGCCAATAAATGCTCTGTAACAGCCGTGACAGGCCCAGGCACTGCCCCGGGGCTGCTGGCCTGCTATCCTGCTATCCTGGCAGGTCCCAGTGGGTCCCCAGCAAGCCCCTGCAGAAACAAGTACAAGACGTGCCGCCTCTGGCCCCAGAAGGGTTGTCGCAATAACATAGTGAATCACCGGGTTGCTGTGCGCTTCCGCAGGACTTGCCAACCAGGAGATAAATGTGCAGGACCTGCAGCCCCCGCATTGCCCGGAGACTAAGCCTAGGCGCGGGCGGAAAGGGTGAGGGCAGAAGGTGGGGGACAAAGCCGGCGGAATGGAGGTGCCCGCAGGCTAGGCCTTCCCAGGGTGCCTACTCTGCACTGTGGAGAGTGGCTCCACGGGCAGCCCACTGGGCCTGGCCAATCCTGTCCCCCAGTGCATTTTGTGAATCACAGGGGGCAGGAAGGCAAGGGGATGACCCCCAAAAAGGCTGGAGTCATTGTACCTCTCCCAGTGGCAGGTGCTAGGATCAGCTTGCTGTCACTGAAATGCTCCCTTATGGAGAGAAAGCATGTGACCCTTGCCCATAGAACCCTAGGTGTTTGGGAGGCCTGGCTTCCTCCCTCCCCAGGCAGGAGCTGCACCCCCAGCCCAGCTCTGTTGGCAGAACAGGCCAGCCTGGGGCTGTATCTAGGAGCAGCTCGGCTGGCCACCTCTGGTCTGCCGTCCAGACCGCTGGGCCTTGTTCTGAGACTCCCTCCATCACTAACAGAACCCCCTCTCCTTGCCCCTGACCTTGATCTCTGCCAAGAGTTCTAGCTGCCCAAGGCTGCAGCCTTCACGTGCGGCCTGTCCTGGGCTCCGCATCTTGCCTGAGTCCAGCCCAGGAGCAGGGAATAGATGAGGGATTTGGGCCATCGCAGGCTGTTTTTAGCAGTGTGGAATCCAGTGTGGGCAGCAAGGAAACTGGGGGTCCCAGAAATAGGTGGCCCTGGGTGACCAACCAGCTCTGCCTCTCAGCAGTGGGCCATCCCAGCCATGTCACTTAACCTCCCTGAACCATGCTTATACAGAGGGGCACTTAATCATAATAATGGTGATGGTGGTGACAAGGCTGATGGCTTCAGCTACCTTTCCTTGAGCCCCTACGGCTGTGAATACTTCCCTCTCCCAATAACTGTGATCATCATATTGCTGAGCATTCCCTCTGACTGCTTTATACATCTACCTTGCTTAACCCTCAAATGACCCCGTGAGATAAGTATGAATTCTTCCTGACAACCCAGCAAGGCGGGGTGGCCATGCCCCGATTACAGGACACAGTTTAATCATCTCTTCCGCCAAGGCCCCTGTCTAGGGGGGCAAAATGAGATCTCCCCCTCTGTGGGATGAGTGCACACACAGGTGGTGGGCTGGGCTGGGGCTCAGTGGTGGAGCACTTGCCTAGCACGTATGAGGCACTGGGTTCAGTTCTCAGCACCGCATACAAATAAGTAAATAAAATAAAGGTTCATCAACATCTTTAAAAAGGAAGAAGAAGAAGTAGTGGCTGCCAGTATGCCGACAGTCCCAGCCCTCTGCACCCAATATGACAAGCTCTGGGTCACCAGGATATGTGGTCTGACCTTCGTCAGCATTTGCTGTCAGTGTGACAGGTGAACTTGACTTTCATGTGGGAACCAGCTGCCCCACCGGTACAGCTGAGCTGCTCAGACAACCAGCCCCAGGTTTGTGTGTATGAAAGAAAGAATGTTTGAAAACAAGAGATCAGAGGGAAGCCTCAAATGCAAGTTTACATTTTCTACTGGCCATAAATGCAAAGATCCTGGTTCTCCCCACCCCCACCCCCTCACCAGCTGCAGAGTTAGCCAGGCAGCTTTAGAAACCCTGAAGTCCCAACCAAAGCCCAGATGGCTACACCAGAGCCTCTGAGAACGGGCTGGGGCATGGGGTTTGCAGAAACGCAGGGTCCCCTGAGCAGCTACGCCCGAGAATCGCCTCTGTCTGGGGGGATCTTGCGGGGTCTGCTCTTGTCTAACTCACACACTTTCTGTCTTTGGTGTTGCTCTCTGATTCCACAAGCTGTCTTTGCCAAACTAGAAGTGAAAACAGGAAAAAGTGCCCCTTGGAGGTGACTAAGACATTGGGGTCTTAAGGACTTCTGTCTCAGCCATGCCCGAATGTCACGCCCTCGTGTTCAGTGTGTGCTGAAGAGCAGGCGCATCTGGCGGACGGCCCCAGCCTCCTGGCCCCACTCCAGGTGGTGACGGTAGGGGGCAGGGAGTTTTGGCAGGTGGCTGGCTGTGGAATGCCTATGGAATGTCACACCAGATCCCCAAGCAGCCTATGGGAGGTGGCCGTGGAGAGGGCCTTTAACACCACATGCCCGGGTGGAGTGAGAAGCCCGGGCTTGCTGGCCACGGCCCTGCCAGGTGGCAGAAGCTGCTGGGCACCCAGCTTTAACCCTTTGTTGGGCAGCCTTCAAAACATGGGTCGGTGTGCGGGGAAGGAGCAGGGCTCCGAGGTCAGCACCCTCCTGGCGTCTTTGCTTCTGTCTCTGGGGTGCCGATCCCCTTACTCCCGTGCCCCTCCGCCCAGTGAAGATGGCCGACACCCCTACACACAGCCTGTTCTCCTCTTCTCCCTGCCTAGAGGACCCGGGGTGTGGCCCAAAGCCCCTGGGCCCCGGAGATGGGACTTCAGGTGGGAATTTTTTGTCGTTGTAAACTGACCAGTACGATAAATGTTGGCTTTTAAAATAAATTCACAAAAGTTAACAATTCAATTAAAGAAAGACATTTAGCTATGAGAACATGTCTGAAGTCGAGGAGAAAGGCCACGCGGGACCTCAGCTGAGGACACGCTGGCCACGGAAGGTGCCTGGCCCGGTGGGATTCAGTCCCTGCCTGGCTGTGGCTCGCCGTGGGGCAAGTGCGCTCTCATTGCTGTGGCCGCCGCACCAGGTGGCCGCTGCCTGCTTGCTAACAGTGGGGGCGTCCCTCCTGTGGGAAGGGTGCCCTCCCGCGGCCCTCCCCGTGGGCCTCTGGGGGTGAGCGGGGTTGGCCAGGCTGACCTGTAGTTGCCCTTCCTGGAGGCAATGTGCAGGGGCAGCAAGCCGTCCTTGTTGGCCTTGTTGGCGTCGGCGCCCTGGGACAGCAGGAAGGCCACCACGTCCTCGTGCTCGTTCTTGCAGGCCTCGTACAGGGCCGAGGCGCTGTCGCTGGCCTGCGTGTTGATGTCAGCGCCTGGAGAGAGAGCAGGTCCGGAGTGATCAGGGCGGCCCCTGCTCGACGTGGCGGCCACGACCACGCGGGGAGGAGGGGTGGGCTCTGGACCCGGCTCCCCTGGGCAGCTCCCCAGCCGTCCACCTGGTGGGCCCAGCCGAGCCGACTGTGCCTGAGGTGCCCTGACCGAGCACCTGGGTGCCGGGCACCGGTAGCAGCCGCGCCCTCCCTCTGAGTCCCCACGGGTGGGAGCTTGGCGCTGTCCCTGGTTTCCCACCCTGGGGGGAGCGCTAGCCCAGGGCAGCGAGGCAGTCTCCGCAGGCCACCTGGCTCCGACGTGCGGAGCTGAACTTGAAACTTGGTGGTCCGATGGCAGAGGCCACGCTCTTGACCCTCACTCCGTCTGAGAGGCCCGGCTCTGCCCTGAGAGAGGCCTCACGATCCTGGCTGAGCAGAGCTTCTCAGAGAGGGGACCCTAATAACCATATGGCATTTGTTTTTAATCTGCCAGAAATAAAGATAAGTGGCTTTCTCTCTCCTCCTAAGAAGTCCCTGAGCCACGCCGACAGGAGGGACAGGGGCAATGGATTCAGCTCAACCTCCCACACCCTCTGCATCTCCTGGGGTGAGGGACAGAACGCCGTGTACATGATTTTTCTGATTTCTCGGCAAAAAGAGGATTTGTCAGTCTTTCCTTGTTCCGGAAGGAGATGGCCCTGCGTGAGCCTGACGAGTCCCTGAGGGCTGAGATCAAAGGCTGTGGGAACCGCAGCCGCCTTCCTGCACGGGCTGCTTATCTCAGGCTTTCTGGTGACTTTGTTTTCAACTATGTGGGGTCCTTCTCTGGTCCAGTGGAAAGAGGGAGGCTTTGGTGACAGACGAGGACCAGCTCACGTTTCTGTGTCATGGTTTCTGAGCCCCATGGCCGCAGGCAGCCCTTAGGAGCCTCAGTTTACCATCTGTGGACCAGAATATCAGTCCTACCTCTCTGGTCACTGCAGGAAGTGAGGCATTTTATGTAAGTGCGGCTCTCGGCACACAGGACCCGAGAAGGCGCCCATCAACGCCACCTGTCCAGGACAAGGGTCCTGAGCAGAGGCTGCCCTGCCCTCCCTGCCGAGGGAGAGGCCCCAGGCCCTCAAAGCCAGGCTCCCTGGAAGGCCTGCGTCCCGCCAGCCAGCCTCCTGCTCACACAGAAAAATATTTGGAATGAGACATGGACTCAGCCCACCAAGGGGACAGCCCCTGCCCGCTGTGTCCGCAGGACACCTGGGCAGATGTTTGCAGTTAGCAGGCTCGCCCTTCCCCGCCGAGCACCCTGCCCTCTGCCCGGCCTCCTGGCCTGGGCTTCAAGGACCCTGCCTGTGTCCCTTTGTTCTCACGCTGGTCTGTCCAAAATCGTCCCTGGCTGCGGGGAGGTGGCTCGTGTCTGTTTTCCCAACTGCTCAGGCACGTGCTGAGGACAGGGACCTCCTCTGGACTCAGGCCGCCATGCTGTGGCGAGTCTAAGCAGAGGGTCAGATGGACACGGGTCAGAATCCAGGCTCTGACGGGGACCTGTTGTTTAACCCCTTCACGCCCCAGTCTCCTGCGTATTAGATGTGGACACTGCTGAGCTCCCAGGGCTCTCGGGAAGAAACCCAAGACCTAATCTTCTGCTTAGCAGAGTGTCTGGCACCCAGCAGGGGCGCAGCAAAGGACTCCAGGCCAGCCCCAGGGAATGCAGAACCTCTGGCCTCTGTGTCGACCTGGGGGGCAGAACCCTTCCCATGGAGAGGAGAAAGAACTGCCCTGGTCTCAGGGACTTCATAATGTAGGCAGAAATGCTTTAGTTTCTCCCATGAAGAGTTTTCTTAGGCAAAGAAGGCAGAGAACCTGGGTTCAAATCCCAGCTCTGCCACTAATTTGCTGTGTGACCTAAGAAAAAAATCACTTTCCCATCGTGGTCCTTGGCTACATCTGCAAAGTAAAGAGGTGACCTCAGTGTTGTCTAAAGTTCTTTTCTGACCTCGAAGTGCGGCTACGTGGTGGAAAAAGGAGGGGGCGGGGTGTCAGGAGTCCAGGAATCCGGCTAGTTCTACAGCTAAGTCTGCTATTGACTATAGATAGGTCACCTCCCCTTTCTAGGCCACAGAGAAAAATGGGGATGTTGGGCTGGGGAGACAGCAGATGTCACCCCCACGGTGCCCGGGCCTAAATGCAGATATCACCAGTGGCCCCCGCAGGACTTGGACACGGCCTCGGAGTCCTTCTTAACACCTCCCTCCACAGAGACACCGTGGGTGACAAGCGGATGACACCTCCACTGTCCCCCGCCGGCTCGTCCCTGAGGTCCTTCCCAGCCGGGGCCTTGGCCACTCACCGTGCTTGGCCAGGAACCTCAGGGCCTCCAGCTGCCCACTCTGCGCGGCCACGAACAAGGGGGTGATGCCGTAGGCGTTCTTGGCCTCCACCTTGGCGCCCCCGCCCACCAGGATCTCCATGACCTCCAGGTCGTTGCGGGACACCGACTCGTGCAGCGCCGTCCAGCCCCGGTTGCAGCGGTGATTGGTGTCCGCCCTGTGCTGCACCAGGATCCGCACGGCCTCCGCGTTCTTGCGCTCGCAGGCTGTGCCCGGGGACAAGCAAGACGGTCAGGGGCCCCGGCAGGACCCGGCCAGGCGGCTCCGTGTGTCCCCTCACTCACTCATCGGCCAGTCACTCAACCAAGAGCCACTGGATCTGCCAAACCCCAGCCCCTGTGCCGAACCCAGGATGTGCAGTTAACAGGGGTACGGAGCCGGCGCTTAGGTCACACAGACAGGAAGTGGCAGAATTAGAACCAGGCAGTCAGGTCTGGAATCTGTCCCCCTGAATATTTCAGGACGTCCCTCCCTCGTCGCCCCTTCCAGGGTCACCTGCTCCAGTCCTCCACATCACCGAGGCGAGGTGGACCTTTCCAGATGGCGAGTGGCTGTTCCTGCTCAAAGTCTGCCCTCAAAGCCTCCTACCTCTGAGAGCCCAGCTCCTCTCCTCAACCTGTTCCACCTGCCCCTTAAGCCACACCCGTCTTTGGACTCCAAATGCACCCCGGGGCTCTGGCCAGATTCTCACCATGGAGCCCTAGGTTCAAGCTGGGGTCACCCCGGTGCTTGTCCACATTGACCCCCTGGGGCCCCCCTGGGTCAGAGGTGGAGAGGGGCACAGGGGCTGCCGGTGCTGTGTCCAAGCAGGACCACGCTGCCCACCTCTCCAAGCCTCAGTGTCCTGCAGAGGGTCGAGGCTTCCTGGGAGGATGCGGGGGGGGCACTTGAGGCACTAGCAAGGGGCGTGGCCTATGGCAGGACCGGGCCAGGAAACTGCCTGGGACTTAGGGCTCCTGGGAGCTCTGCCTGGGACAGCTGTGGAGCCCACCCGGGCCCCCCAGTCTCTAGGGCAGACACACCCACCGCAGGTCCTCGCACACCCAGTTACCTGCCACCCACAGAATGTCCCCAGTGCTGGGAACGAGCGCAGGGGAAGTCAGGGATCAGTACTCCTCAACGCACAGAGGCCTGTTGTTTGCAAGACGCCACTGGCTGTGAGTGGGTCCCTGTGAGCTAGACACTCCAGAGTGCAGCACCTGCTGGCACCCAGCTCCCAGGTCCACCCCTCGCTCACTGGCTGTGTGCTCCTGGGCAACTTGCCTCACCACTCTGTGCCTTAGATCCTCATCGGCAAAGTGGGGGTGTGGCAGTGCCCCTCTTGCACATGGATGGACACGAGGGCTGGGGAAAGCAGAGCAGTGCCAGGCACACGGTGAGCCCTTGGCAAGTGCCAGCTATTACAAGGGCTGGGATTTTGACTCTGGGTGCTGCTAGGGCAGCCAGCGAATGTCCTCGGGTGATGATGTACTAAGCAAGCCCAGAGGGTTTATTTTTCTTGAACACACCTCCCCTGCCCTCCCCCGCCCTCCCCCACTGCCCTCCCCCACCCTCCCTCCTCTCCCTCCCCCTCCCCCTCCCCCTCCCCCCTCCCCTGGGGGTCTTCATTGCCCCTGCTTGGGTTGTAGCCCTACCTGGGCCAGCGCACAGACATGGCCCATGTCTTCTCAACTCTGAGCCTCGAACGGCATAAACGATGCAGCCCAGAGAGGCCTGCCCCCGTCAGAGTGGCCACGGAGGGGCCGCGCCCTGTGGGAAGCAGGCTACTCCTACTCCGTTGCCCACCCAGCTCTGGGGCTCTGCCTCAGAGAAGCCCGCCCGGCTCACCTTTGTAGAGCGGAGTCTCTCGGGACTTGTTGGAAATGTCAGGCTCGGCCCCGGCCTGGAGCAGCGAGAGGACGCAGTCCAAGTGTGACCTGCATGTGGCCAGGTACAGGGCCGTTTCCTCCTGCAGGGTGCGCTGGTCCAGGGCCCCCGGGTACGCTGGGGAGGGCAGACCAGGAGCTCATGAGAGGGAACCATCCCGGTCTCCTCCCCATTCCAAGGCCCAGCTGCATGGCCTCCTCTGAAATTTGCCAACCCCAGAAGACCTCTGTCTCGCCTATCTCAGGGTTGCTCCTGCTTCCTGGTGGTGCAGATGCAGCTCAGACGCCACCTCCTCCTGGAAGCCTTCTCTGGTTGAACGGCCCCCTCACCCCCAGCAGTGGGCCTGTCCTGCCTGTGCACTCCCACCGGCCATTACTGGAGACCCAGCTTCCCCTGCAGCGTTTCTGAGTGTGGTGGGCTTTCAGGGGTCTGGGCTGCTTGAGGGCAGAGGTGACTCCTGCCTGCAGGTGTCACCCCCTGTGAGTCTGGCTCAGAGGAAGATGGGGCTCGGAGAGGAGGCGAGAGTGGCCGAGGGTCGCACAGCTGGTGAGAGGCAGCCTTGGCAGAGCAGAGGCACAGCTGTGGGGTTTTATACCAAATCAGCCCCTGGAACATTCTGGAACAAGCTGGCAGCGGTCCGCCCCAAAGTCAGCCCTCCCTCATTCCTTTTCTAGGAATCAGGCTCCCGGGTGTTGGGAGCCCTGGTGGGCGGGCAGCCGGGGGTGACTTGGGGACTTCAGCCTGCCCCTGCCCCGCCCACCTCTGCCCCCCGGGAGCCCCTCACCTCGCTGCAGGACCTGCAGGCAGCCCAGCTGGCCGTAGTAGGCGGCCTCGTGCAGGGGAAGCCAGCCCTCCCCGTTGGGCTCCGCCAGGTTCTTCCCGTCCTTGATCATGGCCTCCAGGCCCTCCTTGTCACCCTCCTTGATGGCCTTCAGCACGGGGTCCACGGCCCTGAGAGAGCAGGAAGCAGCCAGGCCTCAGGTGCGGCCAGAGGCAGGGCCCAGTGAGGAGTCCCTCAGTCCTGGGTCCCAGCTGGTTCTGGGACAGGGCTGAGCCACCGCAGCCCAGTGCTACAGGAGACTCAGGGGACCTCTCACCCCTGTGCATTCTACGGCTGATGCTAGTTCACACCAAGGGCCTTCTACCAAGAGGACACAGCAGAGCACCGGCCTGGGATATCCACCCCCACCCGCACATCTAGCCACTGAGAAACTCAATACCCCCAGGATCAGCAAACTGGAAGTCCTCACGAGGCAAAACTGAGGACCACAGAGACTCCAGGGGTAACAGGAAGAGCACCTCTGCTTGGCTTTCTCAGGTCCCCCGTTCACTCACTCATTCATTCCCTGAGTGAGGACCACCACGGCTGAGACCCCCAGATCCTCTTCTGGGTCGGGTTCTGCATACATAGCCCCATTCCCCAGATGGAGCCGGTGAGGCCGGAGGCCAGCCTTGTGCCTAGGTGCCTTCCGCTTCGGATGGGCTCTGAGGGTCTCCAGCACCAGCTCTGCCCCCTCCCGGAGCTTCCTGCCGTGTGAGCTGCACTTCCTCCTGACTCTCAGCCTCTGCGTTATTAATAGCCCGAGGGCACTGGCTGAGATAGAGACCCAGCAAGGACGGTGGGAAACTGACCAGATAAGTCCTGGAGTCCCCGTCAACACTGTCACTGCCACCTGATGAGTCCACTTAGGCAAGGACAGAGCAGTCCCCCTTTGACCTCAGGAAAAGTCCCAGTTGGGTATGTGGCTCGGCTGAATCAAAAGGGATGGGGAGGGGGCCGGCTGGTCTCATGGCCTGGGTGAGGGGGCGCAGCGAGCCCCCAGGACCTGCCGCCCAGCACGGGTTTCATGTGTCTGTCTCTCTACTTGCAGTCATGGACCTTGGAGCCCTCAGTGCCAGACATGGACGGCTCCTCGGTGAGCTCAGACAAGGTCCCTGCCCGAGTGGGGCAGCTGCTGGGGTGTCAGGTCACCAGAGACTAGCGAGCTGCACAGGACCCTAGAGGTCACCTTGACTTCGTCACTTTGACTTCTCCAACCCAGTCCTCCAGAGAGGGAGCCTCGGAGGGACAGCCCCTCTCTGGCAGTCACGCAGGAAGTAGCAATCTGCTGGAGAACGGAGCTGGGCTTCTCCTCCCCAAACTGCCAGACCCTCCCGGGGCACCGGGGAGCAGCGGGTGCCGGGTCTGGAGAGGCTGGGAAGGAGAGCGGGAGGCGCCGGCTGCCTCTTCCCCTCCCGGCAACACCACTGAGCACAGAAGTGCGGGTACCAGGGGCGGCGCCCCTCTTTTGCTTTGAGCGGCTTCTACCAGGGGGAGCAGGGGGAAGGAGACAAGCTCTCTCTCTCCTCCTGTGGCTCCAACGATTTCTGGGGTTTAGCACCTGGCACTCGGAGGAAGACAGCAAGGCAAAACGGAGGCTGCAGGTCTGGGTGCTTTGGATGTGCTCAGAGGACCCCAGAGGTGGCGGCGGAACGTGAGACAGAGTGACAAACAGAAGGTGCAGCTGGCTCCTGGGCTCCCCCTCCCTGCTCCTCTGGGACTCTGGGGTTCTGAGGCCATCTCCCCAGCCCCCTCTGGCTGGGGCCCCAGATTCAGAGCCCTACCGGCCCCTCCAGCACACACACACCTCATTCTGGGGGCGTCTCCAAAGGATCCATCCCAAGCACAGTCAGGGGGCCAGTTCCTGCAGGACAGCAGCCTGCGGCCACCAAGCCCAGCTCAGAAGGAGCAGCTGGGGGCCACACCGAGGTGGGTTTGCCTGCGAGGTGCCCCATGGTGCCGGGTCTTCCTGGGGGCTTCAAACCTGCTCCCCTCCCCACCTTCCCTGACACCCCCGGCTGGGGTGTGGGCGTGGCACTGGTCTGGGGCCGGGCAGGGGCACTTACGGCAGCTGGGAGGTCTTGAGGCTGTTGTATTTCTGCATGACCCCCTGGAACAAGCCCATGGGGGGCCGGGCCGGGGGGTTCTCGGTCGGCGCTGAGGACCTGGAGGGAGCAGAGCAGGAATGAAAGAGCGAAAAGTATTCTGCATAGGAGAAGCGGGTCATGGCCGGAGGCAGGACAGGACGGAGGGAGAGGCTGAGTGACAGACAGACACAGGGCCCTGAACCAAAGCAGATGGCCGGGTCCTCTCTGTGTGCTGGACACAGCTGCTGTGTCTCTGGATTATTTTTGGCCCTTGGAGGAAGCCCTGGGAGATTTAAATGACCATATAAGACAACAATGAGGTTAACCTCACCCACTCCCGCCACCCCCTCCCCAGCCAACCAGCGGCAGATATGAAGCAAGGTGACGTTCTTCACCGGGAGGAGGTGACAAGTGGTCAGTGCAAGTCCTAGGTTGAAAGGGGCTCAGGGAGCAGGCCAGGCGGATCCCCATGGAGCTGGACAAGAGATTCACGGGCAAACAGGGGGGCAGGGAGCCCACGCTGAGAATCAGACCAGGTGTGCCCCTCACCCCGACCTTGTGGGCTCATCCGGCAAAGACCATGCCCAGGGTCAGGAGCTAGACGTCCAGAGGCTACAGGAGGAAGGTGCACACAGGGGAAGGTCATTGGGGCTGGGCCGGGAGGCAGATGAACAGGTTCAACCCTGGGCACCGTAGCCACAGAAGCTGGGACTGGATCATCTTCTCTGTGCCTTATTTCCCCGCTAATAAAGTAGCGCAAGAGTAACCCCTGTCTGGAGGACTGGCGAGGCCTGCCCTGGTGACCTGTGTGAAGTACAGGGGACGGGGCTCCCCCGGACAGCCATTCACTTGACCATTATGTCACCTCTCAGAGCCTCGGTTCCCCACCACACTGGGCTGTCACAAGGGCAGGAAGGAGGTGTGGCAGCCACTCCATGACCCGGGTTGGCCTGGGATTGTGAGAAGGGGGTAGGGGGTCCCTGATCACCCCTCCTGGGGGTCAGCCCTGACACCCTGGGTACCCAGCAGGGACACCTTCCTGTCTGAACACCTGGGGAAAGGGCTGTCTATGGGACTGGGGAGGACATCACTCCATGAATGGCTCCCCATGGGCCACAGTGATGGTGACCTCCGGAAGGGCCCATGCTCCCCGAGGCCAGGCTAGAACCTGCAGATTCCCTGGGCCTCTGAGCAGGGACAGGCCTTGGTGCCAGGGAGGCGGCCTGCTGGGGGTCTGCAGACCCTCCTCGTCCCGTCATTCCTCTACCTCCTCCTCTGCCTCCTCCCATCACTCCCACCCGCCGCACAGGCTGGGCAGGACACATGCCAGGTTCACTCACTAACCCCAAAGGTGGGTACCAAGCGGCTGCTTCCACAGACAAGGGAGCCAAGGCTCTGAGAGTGTGGGTTACTGGCTGGGGTCACGCACAGCAGGTAGGTGGACAGAGCCAGGCTCAGGTGGGCCTGCCCTTCCCTGCCTCCCCTCCCCTGCTCCGTGGCTGCACTAACAGGCCTGGGCTGTGAATGGGGCTCCACGGCTCTCTGTGCCTCAGTGGCAGAATGAAGGGTGGAGCTGAAGCGCCAGATGGAGGCTTCCTGTGCCCGCAGGACAGCAGAGAAGCTCAGTGTGTCACGCAAACCCAGAGCCACCATCCCAGGCCAGGACCTGCAAGTTCCGGCCTGGTCCTCCCCCCACAGGGCCCTAGGGCTACTGGCCTGGAGTCGCCTGAACTTGCTGCAGACCTAGGCAGGTGACAGAGCCCTGACCCAGGCCACTTCTGCATTCAGCAGCCCTGTGGTCTTGACAAAGCCCTGGGCTCCCTGGGTGTGCTTTCGATTACTAAAATGTTCTCAGCAGGATGAGAAGCACTGATAAAACCCTGCCACGCTATCCTAACACTGGGACCTCTGTCTCCCTATAACAACAGCAAGGAGAGTGGCAGCAGCGGGGAGTTGGGGTGATGGAGGTTCTGCCTCACGGTCTCTGATGGAGGCAGAGGTGCCTTGTTCCCGTTCTGCAGACAGGAAACCATAAACTGAGTCCAATTCAACAACAGCTTCCCAGCTCTGGCTTGGTCCCAAGCCTTGTGCCTGGGCTAAGTAGACAGATCACTAAGTCACATCTTTCTGTGGATCCTCGAGACGATCAGAGGCCAGCGGGGTGGAGACCAGGACAGACACAGCCACCGCACCGCAGGAGGGATCAAGACAGGAAGGCTTTTTTGGGAAGTACTAAAACTGGGGGGCCAGGCAGGATGGCTACCCAGAGCCCACAGACCTGTGAATCTCAGACTGGATGGGAGTCCAGGCCCCCAGTCGAGTTTCGTGCTCTTTTGGGCCAGGACGGGAGGCCCCGCTTCCCCCCCAGGGCAGGGGAATTCCCAGCAGAGCTAACCGCAGGCTGAGTCATCAAGGGTGAGAGGAGCCTGGCCTGGGCGGCGGGATGTGGCTGCAGGTCGTGCCCTGGAAGAGGCCCAGGTGGGACCCTGTCTCCCTCCGACACTGAGCAAGCAGCATGGCTGCAGTCTCCCTGCTGGGTCCCCATGTGCCCCTGGGTCTTTACCCTCCAGGCCTCTGGCAGGGACCACTCAGGTGCGGGGCAGACCCGGCCCATCGCTAGCACACAGCAAGGCAGTGGTTTGGCTGGAGTGGTTGGCGGCTGTGCACGTATCAGCCCAAGCAAGTTCCTGCTTCAGATTTTCCTCCTTTTTCTTAGAAATGTAGCCTTAAATAAAATGAAGAAGTTTAAAGACCGCAAAGACCCAGCGTCCTGGGCCCTCTGAGTGGTCTCTTCATGGACTTGCTTCCTGGAACGTGGACCCTGCTCACCCTGCATGTTGGGAGCGAGGTCGGCCTCTCAGGGAGCCCTGGCGACCCGAGTTTGACAAGTGACTCCAGCACATGTTTCAAACCTTGTCCCGCCACACTGTGGTAGGGCAGAAGCCACCTGGGAAATGACTTTGAAAGGGAGCATCTATCTTGGGAGGGGGTGCTGACCCGACTTTCTTTTCTAGGATCCCAGAGACTCCGTTCCTATAATTATCACAAGATGATAACTACAGGCCTAAGAATCCTTATTGGCTTCAAGGTGCTTTTATTTCCAAAGAACATCCATTAGGTGTGTATAATGAGGCTAAGCACCGAGGACAAAAGGGTACAGTATCTGCTCGCTGTCTCCAAGAGGGTCACAGGTAGTTGGGGACACTCTCAGGAGACCTTCCCAGGGTGACAGGGGAGTTGGCCTCTGAAGCAGAGGCAGTGTGGGCTGGTGCCCCAGGTACTCACAGAGGAGGCAGGGGAAGGTCAAACCAAGCTGTCCCCATATTTGGTGCTCCTAAGAGTCCTGCACTGTACCTGGGGCTGTAGCTCAGCACTTGCCTCTGTGTGGGGCCCTGGGTTTGATACCCAGCACCACGAAACAAATTAATAATAATAATAATAAATAAATAAAAGAAAAGAAAGGGGAAAAAAGAATACTGCAAGCATTCTTGAACAGGAAAAAATAGGTATCGCCATTTTAGGCATAAGTCCACTGGGGCTCAGAAAGCGGAAGCAGGACCTGAACCTCGAACTCAGTTCTCTCTCCACGGCCGCCTCCTCCCTTCCTTAATCCTCCATTCACTCGCTCTCAGACGGCTGCCTGGCACTTGCCATGGGTCAGGCCTGGGCTCATGGAGAAGGGGACGCGAGGTCCCTGCTCTGGAGGAGTCACATGGATGAACCGACACTGTGCTTGTAGCCAGAGCCACTCAGGAAACCCCAGAGAGGGCGCGGGGGCGGGATCCACTTGACCTGGAGGTGTCCTGGGCAGGACTTGCTGAGGAGGTGACATTTCATCAGAGACCTGAAGGATGAGAGGGGCCCCTGAGGCCGTGGTGACATCCTCTTTCTGAACTTGCTCTGGACCACCTGATGGAGCCTGCCCTTCCGGGTGGAGGTGTGGGGGGCACTCGGTCCTCCACCTCCGCCAGGCCGAGGGGGACTCCTGAGCACAGCGTGGGTGAATCATGTGTCTTCGGGGACCCTGAACCCTTGTGGGTGGGAGGCGGATGTGATGAGGCTGAGCCCCACTCCGGGGGCTGGGGAGGAAGCAGAATCAGCAGCACCTGGTGGAGCCAGAGCTCCGGGCCCGACCGGCTGCCTTTCAGCCCTCGCCTCTGCTGCGAGCGCGTCTTGTCCTCTGTTAAGTGGACACAGGGGCGCGCCCTTGCATGGGTTCTGGAGCAGCCAGTGCACGGGTGTGACCGGCCAGGCGTGCCCTGGGGTGCAGAGGAGTGGGGGGACTAAACACAGTACTACAAGGCTTTTCCTTCCCAGGCGACCCTGGCCCACCCTTCCAGGGTCAAGGGGACAGAACTGACGTTCCCAGTCCCCGCAAGAGTGAGAAGATGGCTGGGGACGTGGCTCAGTGCATAGAGCACTTGCCTAGCATGAGGGAGGCCCAGTTCAACCCCCAGCACTGGGAGGAAAAGTGAGAAAACACCACTAACCCTGCTCCACGCGCCACTTGGCCGGGATCTTAGATGACCTTGGATAGTGGTCTGGCCTCTGGGAGACTCTTTTCCCAGGAGGCTGGGCGAACGCCCCTGTGGGTCTCTGCTTCCTCACTCTTCCCATGGAAGACCCTCTCAGCACCCCCAGGACCCCCAGGAGGAGCCCCTGTGCTGGGGAGAAGGCGGCAGCTACCCTGGGGGACGTGTGGCTTCGTGCAGCTGAGGCTCTGGGCAGCAGGCCCTTCACTATCTGATCCCCTCCCGAGAAAGAGGAACCTGTGGGCTGACTTCAGCTGAACTGGCCAGAACAGGAACCAGGGGCCTCCTTGAACCCCGCCACGGTGAACCATGTCCTGGCCCCGGGTTTCTGTTCTCCGGTCAGGGCCCGCTGGTGGCCTGCTCCTAGCCTCCTGCAGCTCCCCAGCGGGCTGCACACCTTCCTCTCTAGAAGGGGCCCCTCCGCAGCAGCATCCTGGGCTTGGGCCCAGCCAGTCTGGGGGAGGGGGGCCAGCCTCGCCAGGGCCAGAGCTACGTGGGGAGCCCTGGGGAGTGTCGGGGGGGACAGGGCTGAGATAGACCTTCTCCACCGTAGCCCCTGTCACCTAGGACCTGACATTGGGCAAAGGCTCTTTGTTGCCGCTGCTGTTAGGAGAGAAGGCAGCAGAGGTTCTGAGAGGCAGAGTGACTTGCTCAGGGTCCCACAGGACTTGGCTGCTGGAGACAGGGAGATTGGACCCTCCCATTAACGCCAGCGTGGCTGTCACAGCACCTCCTATCCCCCACCACCCTCCTCCAGGTACACACTCGGACTTGACTTTGAGGAGAAAAATATTTTTACAGTGTATGTATTTCTTTTCTAAAAGCTTTTGAAGGTCACGTGCTGATTACCTCTCTGGCTCCTGCCTTCTACAAAGAGGGAGACGTGCACTGTCCAGTCAGCGGCCACTGGCTATGTGTGGCTAGTGAGCGCTGGACGCGCCACTGGCCTGAACTGAGAGGTGCCATGAGGATAAAAACACACACTGGATTTTTCAGGGGGAAAAAAATAAAGTTTAGGTAAAAACCTCATTCATAATTTTTATATTAGTTACATGTGGGAATGATGGTATTCTAGACATAAAAAACATTAATTTTGCTTTTTTTTATCTTTACTTTTTAAAAAAAATATAGACTAGGAATTGAACCCAGGGGTGCTTACTCACTAAGCCACATCCCCAGTTCATTTTAAAAATTTTTTATTTAGAGACAGGGTCTCACTAAGTTGCTTGGGGCTTCGCTAAGTGGCTGAGGCTGGCTTTGAACTCATGATCCTCCTGCCTCAGCTTCCCGAGCTGCTGGGATCACAGGCACGTGCCACTGCACCTGGCTCACTTTACTTTTTTAATAGAGCTGTTTGAATATTTAATGGCGCCTGTGGAGCGTGGTGGCGGCTCATGCCGTATCTCAGGACGGTGAGCAGTGCCTAGACGGGGGAGCCGAGGAGGAGCAGCACGGCTCTGTGGGTGGACGTCCTGGGCTACCCGGATGGGCTGCCCAGGGGAGACGGCTGAGCAGCCTGAAGTGCCAGCCACACTGAGCACCGTGGTCCTGCCTCACTGGAGTGGGAAGCCCGGGGTACGGGGCACAGCCGGGGCGCTGCAGCCAGACAGTCCCGTCCCCACACCCCGCTCCTCCCTGTGTGACCTGGGCTACCCTGAGCTTCAGTTTCCTCATTGGCGAAATGGGACCGTGTCATGGGGATGGCCAGGAGGGTCCTTGGGAGGATTATCACCCGAGGCCGAGCTTGTGCGGCTGGACTTTGATCTCTGTAGGTTCTGCATTCCTTCAGATAAAAAAAGTCTTTGGAAAGAAGTGTACCGAACATGCACCAGTTTTTTCCTGTCGTTACTCCCTGAACAATACAGTACGACAAAGATTTCCGCAGCCCTGACATTATTTGTGCAGACCTGGATATTCGTGGGGGTCCCGGAAACAGCCCCTCTAGGATACCTGGGGACAACTGCACAGCACACATTGCAACACTTGGCACTGTAGAGCTCAATACTCTTAGATGACAGGCGTAAATCATTAAGGCGTAAAAGCGTGCTGGAGAGCAGGGTGACTTGGTTTGGAATGAGCTGACAGAGGCCCGGGCGGGACCAGCTCCTTAGTCAATGTCACCTCGCTTACCTGGTCCATGGGTAGAAATGGGCAGGCTGGTGGTTGGCACGCGAGGACACCGTGGCCTCGGCAGTGGCCGGGCCCCGTGTCTTGTCCGCCAGACTCTGCTCGATGGCCATCTGGACCAGCTCCTCCTCGCTCAGGCTGCTGTACAGGCTGTACTCCTCGTTGCCGATGGCCCGCTGTGGGCCCGGAGCGCTGATCTCCATCGCCATCCCCACCACTCACCCTGGCCTCCAGGGGAGACGCTCCACGGGGTGGGGGGCTATGGCAAGTCCAGGAACCCTGCAAGGAGACCGAGGCCATCTTGTCACACAGGATCTTACAAGATAGTTCGCCCCCAGGGAAGGCCAGGCTTTTCCCTGAAGATCACACGTTCATTTTCTATTCATTCACTAGCAATATGATCTTCCAAAGCACCCTCCACCTACACGCTCGCCACCCTTCCGACTTCGACTCACCAGGTCACCCATCCATCCACACCTCCATCCCTTCACTCACCACCCGTGCATTTCTCCACCCACCCACTTATATATCCGTCCATCCTTCATCCACCCATGTATCCAAGCATTAGCCATTGACCCACCTGTCTGTCGTCTGTCCGTCCGTCCATCCATCCATCCATCCTTCCTCCCTCCTGCTCATTCCCCTGTTCATCCACCCATTTACCCTTCTACCCTCCCATCCATCACCATTCACCTATCTATCCACCATCCAGCCAGCCATCAATCCACCCACTCACCCCTCTCTCCATTATCCATCCTCTGTCTGTCCACCCACTCACCCATCTACCCACAGGCCTTCCCTCTGTCCACCCTGCCTATATCTATCGGGGCATCCATCCACCCGACTCGTTGTTTTTTCTTATTTCAGGCAGCCTATCTAAACATGGATGCACGCATAGATTGACTGAAAGGTCACGTACTGTGCCACTTCTCTGTGCCGGGCACTCTTCTGGGGACGCAATACTGGATACACAACCATGACCCAGCAGACGGATCCCAGCCTCACAGAGCTCACCCAGCACGTGTACCCTCCTCCCTTCCAAGCACCCACGCCTCCTCTCCTGGCCTCCTGCACTCCTCCTCCCCGGGGAGGGCTGGGAGGGCCAGAGACGGATCAGACCCAGGCTGGCTGCTGCGGCTTTCCCGGCCTGGCTAAAATCAACCATTAAAAGGGTTTGCCGTGTTCGTTACAGGGACCCTCTTCTAGAACAAAAATGCCTCAAAGAGATCGGAGCTGGTTGAATCAACTACTTTTAGGAAATGAAATAAAACCAGCTGAGCCTGATTTTGCCTCGACGGGCTGGCTTCCGTGTGACTGTGGGTCACGGTTCTTACCCTGGCCGAGCACTGGAGTCACATGAGGCCTTAAAAAGACACCCCAGATCCCGGGGCTGTGCTTGGACTCCATCAGCAAATATGCACTTCCCTCCCCTCAGCAGAGGCCCCCTCCCTTCAGCGTGGATATCAGTCTACGTCCACCTGGCTGGCTCTGCCCCTGAGGACACAACACGAGCCGGCAGGTGAGGAGAGCTCTGGCAGTGCCCTCTGTCACCATCACCAGGAGAAGGAGGAGATTCCCCTGGAGCTGCCGCCGGGGCCCCTGAGAGAACCTGCTGGGGGGCCTGAGTGCAACCTGCCCGGGGAGCCTGCCCAGCAGGGCCTGCCGCCTGCAGCGTCCCCATGCCCCGGCTGCCCTGGATCCACAGCTGGCAGCGTGCCAACTCAGCTCCAAGAAAAGGAGAAAATGCCAAGTGCCGGGGAGGACCCGGTACATGTCCTGGGAGGAGAGTAACATGGTAAAACCGCTTTGGAAAATAGACGGTGCTTGGACCACACACCCACCATGTCACCTGGATGTTCCCCTCCTGGTGGTACAGCCAAGTGCTCCCCAAAGACAAGGTCAGGAGTACTCACACAGCACTATTCACAATAGCCCCAGTGGAAAGGACCCACACGTCCGCCAGCCTTTGAATGGCTTTACACCTGGCGGTGCGCTCACGGGACGGACGGAGGGCACGCACCCGCGACGACAGAGAAACTCCCTCTACACACAAGGGTGGACCTCTCCACATCGGCCTAACATTGACCAGATAAGCCAGGTAAGAACGAAGGCACATGTGACCCCGTATATACAAGGCTCTGGGACAAGCACAACTACCTACAGCCATGGACGTCAGGAAAAATGGTTCTCCTTGGGAGGAGCTGAGTGGCAGGGACATTGGGAGACCCCAGGGACCAGGCACTGCACCTTCCTCCATCGGGGAGGTCACATGTGGTGTAGGTGGCTGTAGGACCCCTGAATGCGCGTGGTTTGTGCATTTCTGTGGACGTGCATCAGAAGCCCAGCCCAGCTACTTAAAAAGCAGACAGAACTAAAAAGCAGCTTGGGACCCGCCTCAGACCAAGTCAGAGTCCCCGAGCTGCCCAGGTGACTGGAACCACCTCTTGAAGAATGGCAGGCAGAGGCAGAGGCAGGGGACACTGAGAGGGGGGGCTGGAGTGGGGGACCCTCCCGGGGGAGGGCACTCACATGGACTCCTGCTGAGCCCCTTAGAGAATTCTTTTGATTTATCCTTGTCACAGCCTTAAGAGTGACAGTCCTCTGCTGTGGCCTGCCTGGCCCTGGCCTCCAGCCTCAGGCAGACCTCACAGAGACCCCCCTCTGCACAGCACAGTAGAGCTGAGCTTCCTTCCCTTCAAAATCTGGTCCCCGCGCCCCTCCACGCCCCCCTGCACCCCTGGCCTTCAGAACTGCCGGGCTCCTCACTTCTCCAGGCCAAGGCTGCGCCCCTCTTCTGGGAAGCCTACTAGAATCTTCTGCAAAGCAGACATTTTCTCCTTGTGAGCTTAAGTGTGGCTTGAGCCTGGACGCTCTTAAAGCCAGCACCTTAGGTGAGGAGCTTAAAGTCCATGATTCATCTCAGCAAAGGCCTCCACTACCAGAGGGTGTGGCAGAGCCCATCAATGGCCATTTCCCCTGAGAGCAGAACCTGGCTCTGTGCAGGTAGCAGTGTCCCCAGTCCCATGGATGAATCACGATTGTTCCAAGACAGTTGGGACAATCCCACCCTCTTGGTCAGTGACTCTTCTAGCAGCGGGATCGTAGCCTAGTTTTGTTCAAGGAGCTGTGCGGAAATTCTGCTGGGATGTTCCCAGGAAGGACTTTCTTCCCTAACAAAACAAGAGAGGTAGGGAAGAAAATGACTCCTAGGCCCAGTCCCTGTATTTGACCTGGAGGACTTGATTCTTGGAGCAGTGGTAGCCTTCTTGTGACCACGAGTTTGACCGAGAATGATAAAATGAGTTTGACAGTCTTCTGGGTTCTTGACAGTCTTCTGGGTTCTTGACAGTCGTTGAGCTACCGAACCAATTCTGGGTATGCCCACCCCAGCCTATTTGTTAGATAGAGATTGAAAGTTCTGGAGGTTTAGCCAGTATTAGTTGAGTTTTCTGTTATGTGCTGTTGAAATCGTCTTAGCAGATGGTTCTTAGGCCTGACTGAGAGACTCTCAAGAGTTTTAGCCAAGGCTCTGGTCTCACCCCAGACCAATGAGCTCAGGCCTTGGGAACTGGAGCCAGGCCCAGCAGGGTTTGGGGTCTGTGGGGGTCTAGCCTGCGGCCAGGGCTGGGAGCCACTGCTCTAGGTCAACGTCAGGAGGCCGCTCTGCATCCCACACGGGGACGGCCAGGGGCAGCGAGACCTCAGAGTCACCTTATACCTGGTGCTTGGTCTTGATTAGTTTTTAAAGCGATTTCAGCAGCCGTTTTTGTTTATTGTGAAGAAGTCCAGGCTGGGAAGTGAGAGGCCGGGGTCAGCGTTTCCAATCGGCCACAAGCTCCCACTTCCTCTTTCAGGTCCCCGTTTTACCATCTGTCAAAAGGCAGGGTGGTCTGGAGCCTGCCCGAGGGCACTCCCACCCTGCGGGGCCACCTGTGCAGCCCGCAGGATCCCCCAGCCTCTGGCCTGGGCCTGGCCCCAGCCTCTTCCCGGCCTCTGTGAGGCCGAGGCCCCTGCAAGGTCTGAGGCGGCCAGATCTGCCTTCAGCGGGTGGGGACGGTGCTCGGCCCAGCAACAGGAAGACGCCCTGATCTCTCCAGAGCTGGGGTCTGCTTTTACCCACCCCCGGGGCAGGGCAGGGCCTTGGTCCAGGTGCCACTGAACTAAGCAGAAGTGTCAATGTCCAGTGCCACAGCATCGTGGGGTCCCATGCGAAGGTGTCCGTTAAAAGTGGAGGGCAAGAGGGAAGAACTCGGACCAAGAGTCAGGGACTGAGCTATGATCTCCATTCCAGTGCAAGGATGCTGTGTGACCTTGGCTAACTCCCTGTCCCTCTCTGGGGCTCAGCTTTCCCATTGCAAAAAGAAGACTCCAGGCTACAAGTTTTCCAGGGCTCTTTGGTTCTAAGGTGACCTGTTCGACATGCCCTCCGCAAACCAGAGCTTAGCGTGGGACACTGGAACAGGGAAGCAGGTAAAGGTGGACGGATGGAGGGCTTGATACCAGCCACCCTAGGGCTACTTTCAATTCTGCTATTTGCTAGCTGTGTGACCTTGGGCAAGTCACCTCCCGGTTCCAGTCCCCTGGTTCGTGGAAGGAAGGTGAGCTGCTTCCACCGGCCGAGGGAGACATGCAGGAGCAAAGCAGTGTGTAGGTGGCTTGTGGGGGGAGCTGCGGTTAACGGGACCCACAGCCCCACCCCAGGCCCTGCAGCCTGGACCCACAGGCAGAGGTCTGCTGGGGAGGCTTGGGTACCCAGGACGGCTGCAGTGTGCACGCCACCTCTGCCCCTCTCCCAGCCATGTCCCTCAGCCTGATTTCTGGTGGGACGTCTGGGGAATGACCTCCTCCCCCGAGGCTCTAACAACCGCGCACACCGGCCCCATCCAGGGAGCCCAGCCCCACGGCCAGGGCCAGGCCTGGCCAGAGCTGGAGGAGAGGAGGAAGAACCATCGTTCAGTGCGGGTTTCTAATCCCAGCCACAGCCCTGCCAGGGTCCTGCTTCTGCACCCATTTCACAGAGGCAGAAACCGAGGCCCCCCCCCTTGGAAGAGCAGTGGCCGCGGAGGGCCCAGGAGCCGTTCTGACCACCTCACATGTTATTCAAGGAACCCCATGGGAGCTATCCGCCCCCAGGGGAAGTGGGGGCCCTGCAGTCCACACTTGGGTGCTGCAAGAAGGTGACCGGAACTCCTGGAAGGACCGGCCAGCCCTGAGCACCCCCTGCTGGCCCCTGGCTTGGGGACAGCACTCACTGCGCGCCCGCTTGCCCTGGGAAAGGGCTATTTTAATCCCAATCTGCCTCCCAGGGATTCCCCCGGGCCACTGGCCGGGACTCGGGGCTGGAAGGAGGCCAGCCTCTGCCGGGCCTTGGAAACCGAGCCGTGCAGCATAAAGAGCCGGGTAAACTGAGGCCGGGGGAGGGGCAAAGCACCACGGGGTCCATCACAGGGGCCACCCTCTCCAGAGACAGGTGCCCGTTTCACAGATGGAGAAATGGACAGTCCAGGGCGCCTGCAGCTAGGGATCGGGGACTTGGACGACCCTGGAGCTGACTCTACACGCGGCTTCACGACCTGCCCGTGCAGCAGCTCCAGTGGCCCCAGGAGACGTCCTCAGGGTGTCCCTGGAAGGTACCACCGGCCCGAGCTACAGAGGACCGTGAGGAGGAGCGTCCCCCCTGCCATAGCCCGGGCACTCACACTTGCCACCCCTGCGACTCTGCCTCCCCTCGTGGTGACAGTTGCTGAGTCTTCATTTTGTACCAGAGGAGGCTGGAGGTGGCGACCTGCCCAAGGAGCCAGAGGCCAGGGCCTCAGCGGGAAGGGCCAGCGCCCCTGGGCCCAGGGTGGATCGGCCTCCTCAGAGGCGTGTGTCCAAGGGCTCCTCACATCCTGCTGCTCTGGCTGCCGGCAGTGGGCCTGCCTCCCTCTAGGATCCAGAAACTTCTGAAGAGCAGGACTGCGTCACCTTTGTGTGTGACCCCAGGACCTACCCAAGGCCAGGTACACTGTGGGTGTTCAATAGCTGCTGGGTGGACCGTGAGTAAACCATGGAGTCATGATGAGGATCACGCCTGCAGAGGCCACCCTTCACCTGGCAGGGTGGCCATGACCGTGTGGCCTGGTGCCCCACTGCCCAGAGTCCAGCCCTGCTCTGCCATCTACTGGCTGCATGAGGGACAGCAGGTCACCGACACCCTGCCTCACTTTGCCACCTCTGGAGACAATAATAGCATCTGGCAGCTGTTTTCAGAGGAGATGAGGTCACAGTGTGAGCAGCATAATGCCCCTAATGGCCCCCAAGGTGCAGCGACTCTCTGCCCTGACCCCAGAAAGCAGGTGGCAAGGGTCAACCCGTCCCTGCCAGGAGGCTGCACAGCCCATGGCAGCCTTCAGGGAGGCTGAGTGAGGGTGGGATTCTCCTGGGCTCTCCTCACAGAAAACAAGCCGAGCTGGAGCCAGCTCCAAGGCCTTCCTTGGACAGCAGGGACCGTGTCTCCCAGGCCACAGGTCCCAAGGTCAGGCACAAGGTCAGGGATGGGGGAGCTGGGAAAGCACGCCACCTCCCTGGAGCCTGCCTGAGTATAGGCTACGCCTGTCCGAGGGTCCTCCTGCCCCCTCCACCCTCCTGCGCTCAGGATCTGCTGCCCTGGAACTTTGGAAGGACCTGGTCCACCCCACGCCTCTCAATCCTGGGCCTGGATTTCTGCATGAGGCCACCACTTACAATGACAAGACGGGCCTCTCAGGGAGCCTGTGGTCCCTTAGCGGTATGGGGTACCTAAGTGTGCGGGGCCTCCAGTGAAGGCAGGGCCCAGGGTTCAGAGCCACTTGCCACCCTCAGAAATGGTAGCAGTGAGCGGGTTGCCGTGGCCTTCCCTGCTCACCGCACGATTCCGTGAGAAGGTGGTGTTGCCCCCATCCTGCAGATGGGAAGACGGAGGACACCCAGGGAGAAAGTGGCAGGGAGAGAGGGCGGTGTGCCTGACTTCCGGCTCTCATCTCAGGTAGCTAACCACAGCTTTCAGCTGTTTTTGAAGATTTAAGTAAAGGCTGGAGTCAAATTGGAGAATGAATATATATATACACACACACACACACACACATATACGTTTAAAAGACTGAAGATGAATGGATATTATATACACACATGTATATACAGTGATTTATGCTCCTACGTATGTTTGCAGCTTGAGCCATCTACCATATAACATAATTCCTTATATAATATTTATTCAGTCCTCCTCTATGTTTGTGGGTTCTGTGTCCAGGCATTTAAACAACATGGATCAGGAATATCCAGGAAAAAGAATTGTTCCAACGACTCTGAACATGCATTGACTTTTCCCCTGTTATTATTCTGTGAGCAACACACATAACAACTATTCACGTAGCGTCCAGGTTGAATGCGCCATCACGGGTCACCTGGAGGTGGTGGGGGGTGTCCGAGGATCCACAAGGACCTGGGCAGACACCCTGACGTCTCATACAGGAGACTTTTCCCCAGATTTGGATATCTGCAGGGGGGTCCTGAAACCAACGCCCCACAGATACCAAAGGATGAATATACACGATACACATCAGACATGCCATCTGCAGATCAGTTGCAGGATTTTCAGGGTCTCTCAAAAGTCACGTGGCCCTAGCCAGAGGCAGTCCTGAGAGCTGGCTGCTTGGGCTACCTGGGGACACAGGAGGAGGAATCGCCACAGCTGTCCTTGGCCCCAGTACCAGCCCTGTTCTGTTCAGTGCCCCGTCCTGCTGTCAAAACCCATCTTTCTAATCCACCAGCCCCAGACCAGAGGGGTCCTTCCAGTTGGGACTGTGGATGTAGACAGCCAGGTCCTGGGTCCCTTTGCTTTAATGCCTAAACAATAAAAAATACACTGGTACCTGAGGGTCCCTGGCAGGGTCCTAGCTGCTGCCTTGGGTGGAAGCCTTTGACCTCTCAGTACCCGGGAGCATCAGCTTCTCATGTGCAGATGGGGAGACGGAGGTGCAGAATGTAAGGGGCAGAGGGGCTCCGACTGCATCTGCTGGTCCCTCTTTTCATCTGACCCTCTGAACATGGCAAGGGGTTAGTCACTTGACCCTAAACCTCGCCCCACAGGAGGTTTCTGCCCTGGTAGAGGACAGGGCCCCCCAGCCCTCGGCCCCCAGGAAGGGCTCCAGTCAAAGTCCCGGGTGGCCTTGGCAGGGGCCAGAGCTGACAGGCCTCTGTCCAGGGCCTCACCGCTGCTGAAGAACCTAACATGCCCTCCCAGTGGCCGATGGAAGACTCTTGCACGCTGGCTTTGGGTGCCAGGCCTTGGGGCTTCTGAAGGTGGGCCAGAGTCACCAGAGGACCCAGGAGTCTGCTCAGGCTGCAGACCCCACCATGCCAGGCCCCTTTGTCCTTTGTATGGAGAGAAACTGAGGCACCGAGAGAGGGTGCACCCAGCCCGAGGTGGACCAGCCAGACCCAAACCTGTCCAAACCTGGCTCCGCTCCCACTCCAGCACGACCCAGGCCCCGCCCATTGTACAGAAGGGGAAACTGAGGCCAAGGCTCCAGCCGAACGGAGCGCCCTTGGCTTCCCCTTGCTCACCCAAAGCTGGGTGGCCCTCCGCGGAGTCTGGGACCCTGACAGAGAGCTAGGTGGCTTGTTTGTTTATTGGCCTGCCAGGAACCCAGGAAGCTGCCCAGAGAGAGAGCCAGAGGAGAGAGGGAATAAATAAAACCATGAGAAAGTCTCTTTTCTGTGTCCTGCACAGAGCCACAGCCTCAGGCGGTGCCCGGGAGCAGCATGTGGAAGACATGGGTGGCCGCCAAGTTTCCGTCCTGTTTCTCTGGGCCCACGCCGTTGAGCAACAGGCCCACAGGTCACCTTCCTCTCAGCCTCCTGGGTGGAGGGGCCCTTCCCTGCCTCCTGGCCCTGCAGGGACTGGCCCTCGTCCCAGGCCCCTGTCCTCCCTGCAGCCAGACCCATCAGTGTGGCTCAGACACATTCAGTGCTGGACACAGCATTCCAGGCCCCTGACCCAGTTTCTGCCACGGCTCTAGGAATGCCAGGCTCTGCCAGCTATGCCAGCGGCCAGGGGTGGCAGAGATGGGTGGGCGGGGCTGGCCCGTCCACCTCTGAGCCTCCAATAACAACAGTGGCTGTGCCCACCCCTTCCAGCTCCCCAGCCCGAGTGCCCTGCCTGGCCTTGTTCTGTCCATGGGCAGCGCGAGGGTCTGGACCCTCTTCCTGGCCCCCTGGGTGGCAGGACACAGGGGCCTGGGAGCAGGTGGGAAGGCTCAGGCGAGGCAGGAGAGCCCTCCCAGCGCCCCAGCGCAGGCCTGGCCGGGAATCTTCTAAGCTAGACCCCTCCCCAAAGCTGAGGCCCCTTCCTGTCCTCTCCCCTCTCCCCTCTGGGTTTGGATCTTTCCTTCTCTTCTCCCTGCTTTCCCTCTCTCCTCTCTCCTCCTACCTTTCCTGTCCTGTGTTCCTTTCTTTAAAATAAAACCCAAACAGGAACTCGGGTTAGGAATGTGGCGACTACTTCACCACCGGCTCCTCCAGCCTCCCTGTCCACCCCAAGCACGTGGACTCCGTTTATATTCCTGAGCACTGATTATTCCAGAAGATGGTGTTGAGGGGAGGGACCTAGAGACGCAGAGAACTCTGTGACAGCCGCCACCTCCAGGCAGCCTGGCCTTGGCAGCTCAAGTGGAAGGCCATTGGGCGGGCCCAGGGTATTTTTGTGCCTCCTTCTGGAAGGCTCTTTTAGGTCCTGCCTGTGCTCGATATATGGGCACCTCATGATGCCGGGGCAGTGCCAGGGACATTTCAGCTGGGGGCACGAAGGTGCTGATTCCCACTGCCCCGGCCCCCAGAGAGGCCAGAGGAGGTGGTGACTTAGAAGGTAGGCCCTGGAGGCTCAGAGGCCAGAGTTCGAATCCTGCCTCCAATACCTTGTAGCTGTCCAGCCTCGGGCAAGACTCACCCTCTCATAACCTCTGTTTCCAAATCTGAAAAATGGGAGCAGCAATCATCTCTAGCTCCTGGCGACTTTGAAAAGAGTCAACGAGAGGATTCACCACAAGTGCCTGGGCCGCTGCCTGGTCGTCCTCTGTGCCCAGTGGCCGCTCCTGGCACCGCTGGCGCTATTCCTCATTCTAACATCGCCATGGGTGCATGATGGCGGCTCCCACCCCGTGCTGCCAGGAGGCCCCCAGCCCTGGCCTGTCTGTGCACAGAGGAAGCAGGTTGGGTGGCACTGAGGGGTCCCTGCAGCCCCTGGAGGAGGCCGCACAGCTCGTCCCAGCTGGCTGGACCCCCTCGAATTCCCTGAAGCCTCCCCTCAAGAGAGGGGCTTTTCCTTCAGGGAGGGTCCCTCCTGCCCTGCCCAGGGCCTCAGCCAGCAGCCCCTGACATTACCTCCCCTCCCCTCCGTTGCTGCCTCCCACTCCTCGAGCCCGTCCACCCCCTGCCTTCCCCGGAGAGGCCTGGTCAGATCCACCCTCCTCTCCTCTGCTCAAACACTTCTAGAAGATGGTGTTGAGGGGAGAGACTTAGAGACACAGAGAACTTCTAGAGCATGTTCCATCTGCCCGCTTGGCCTCCCTGCAGCGCCCCTCCCACCATCATCAGGCCACTGTCTAGTCTGCTTTGTCCCGGCTGCTCCCACACCTGGCCCCTCACCCCACCCCATGACATCCCCCTGTCCTTCCGAAGGACGTCACCTCTTTAAACGTGCCCTCGTGCGTGCGTGGATGTGCACATGTAAGGAGTCTGCTCGCTTCCCTACCCCCAGCTGTGAACCCCACCTGGAGAACCCTCCTCCCTGTTTCCTCTCCTGAACCCCAAGAGGCTGCAGGTGGAGCCCACGGCACCTCGGTTACTCAGGACCCCAAACTCCTGCGCACGCACAAGCCCTCGGGGAGGCTGCGCTCACCGGAGTTCCCTGCGTGAAAGCATCTGTTTGTTCACCTGACCTGAGACCATTCCCAAAGACATTTGTCAGACACAGATATTGCCCGAGACCGGGGACCCAACAGTAGCATCAGTGACAGCCCCTTTTGCATTCTAGTTCTAGACGGTCACAGCAGAGTGCCCAGCTAAGCAGGAGTCCTTCAGAAGAACGGATAAGTACATGCAAGTTGCCAGTTCTCTGTCCCCCAGACCCCAAATGAAAGTCCCCAAGGGGCCGCAGGACTCCCGAGAACTGGAGCAGACAGAGCAACCAGAGGTCCCACTGCAGGACAGCTGGCAGGTCCCCACGGGCAGGGGAGGTGGGGCTGCGTTACCTGTTAGACCGGAACCAGGGACTCGCCCAGGGGCGGTGGACAGAGCTCTCCTGAGAGTGTGAGAATTTCAGAGCCCAGAGCTGTCCCTCTGCCCTGGCCCTGCGCTTTGGGCTGCTGTGCCAGGCAGCTGGGTGACGCGCTCCTTTGAAGCAGGGAGTTTATTTCGGGCCCACCGCATGACCACTGATGGCGAGCCAAGCTATACGGTGCTCCGAATCTCAGATTTCCTGTTCGAAGACGGCACAGAGGAAGCTGCGGGGCCCCTTCCGATCCTCCGGGTGGATTAGAGCCGGACTCTCACTTGGGAGAGCATCTCGGAACGTGGGCCTTCACGTGATGTCACCAGTTGTGATCCTTGACATGGAGGCCATATATGGGTATGTTTCTGGAACTACCCAGGAGGGAGCGAGAGAGGAGAGAGATGCAGAGGCTGAGCCCCAGAGAAGCAGGGAAAGAGAACGAGAGAGGGAATTGGGAAAGAGGCAAGAGCCAGGGAGAAGAGATGGCCTCCAGACTGTCCCAGCTAGGGTGGCCCACAACACAGGGGACGGCCGGAGGGGCGGCTGAGGGAAGAGAAGGGGCTGAGGAGTCGGCACCGAAGGCCTCTGGGAAACGAAGGGTCAGTGCAGATGGCACAGCCTGGTGTTCGGAGACACAGGGTGTCCTGTTGCTGGACACTGTGGAGGGGGCAGGGGATAAAGGGTAGGACACTAACTAAGCAGTCACCACACATAAAATCATGTGGGCGAGCTCTGGGCAGAGACTCATAGGCCAGAAGGACCCCTCCCTCCAGGCCTGGGGGACACTGCTATCCCTGAGGCAGGGGGATGGCACACATGGCCACCCACCAAGCATCCAGGACGTGCCCAGGCACTGCCAGGCACTCACAGGGCCACAGGCAAGTCAGATCACAGGCCCCAGAGGTGGGGGCCCGGAGGTGCCATGGTCTCCTCCTCTGAGTGGAAAATGATTTCCATTTCAAAGCCCCCTTCCTGTAGGAGGACATGGGATTTAGGACAACCATCAGACTCCTCCTCAACTCAAACTCAGGAAAGTTTGGGATGCCGCGACCCTCACTTCCGATGTTCCACGAGGAGATAGATCTCAGATGCCGGGTGTCCAGGGCTGAGCCAAGGTTCGCCAAGGATGGGAGGGGCATCATCAGTGCCCGGGATGTCTCCCAGCTACTCCGGCACCTGCTGTGTTGTGTACCACCCTAGCTGGGACAGTCTGGAGGTCATCTCAAGCGCATCCTTCCAGACCACGTGCTGTGGCAGGGTGGGGAGGGGCTCCGTACTGTTTGCAGATTCTCCTGGGGCTAAGACCAAGACCAGCTTAGACTGGAGACATCTCTCTGCATCTTGCTGCTTCCTGGGGCTCCTTGCTGGAGGTGAAACACAATTTCCTCTGCTCACCGACGACCACCAACACCCTCTGCAGATTTGACCTGGGGAGGGTGGGCCTGGGTCACCTCCCAGGCCCCCGTTAGGCTGGCCCCTGCTTTGCCCTCTCAGTACAAACTTCTCATATCAAGAGAGCTGGAGAAACTCGGCCTTCAAACCTTCCTGTCTCACTCCTGAACTCAGCATTTGAAAATCAAGAACCCAGCCGGGCACAGTGGGGCACCCCTGAAATCCCACAGCTCAGGAGGCTGAGGCAGGAGGATCACAAGTTCAAGACCAGCCTCAGCAACTTATCGAGGCCCTGAGCAACTCAGCGAGACCCTGTCTCTAAATAAAACATAAAAAAAGGGCTGGAGGTGTGTCTCAGTGGTTGAGTGCCCCTGAGTTCAATCCCTGGTAGAAAAAAGAAAGAAAGGAAGGGAGGGAGGGAGGGAGGGAGGGAGGGAGGGAGGGAGGGAGGGAGGAGGAGGGAGGGAGGGAGGGGGGAGGGAGGGGAGGAGGGAGGGAGGGAGGGAGGGAGGGAGGGAGGAGGGGGGGGGGGAGGGAGGGAGGGAGGGAGGGAGGGAGGGAGGGAGGGAGGGAGGGAGGAGGGAGGGAGGGAGGGAAGGAGGGAGGAGGGAGGGAGGGAGGGAGGGAGGGAGGAAGGAGGGAGAAAATCAAGAATTCAAGTTGTGTGTGGAGAGTCTTGGGGACAGGAAACCCCAGGGGTGTGCAGCAGGGCAGGGTTTGGCTGGGCTCACTGATCAAACTATGAACATTGTTCTGCTGCACTTGTGGAAAACCTCCAAGTAGGGGCTACCATTGTCCCATTTCACAGCTGGGGAAACTGAGGCTCAGAAGCAGCCTGTCAGTCCCACAATTGATTCATGACTGTTTGGCCCTTGAAATGCCTTAGGCCTCACGCAAAACCCTGTGCTTTCAGCCACAGCTCTGTGCGCCACGTAAAGGGCAGTGTAAATATTGGGGCAGAGTGGGAAAATTCCCTAGGGAAGAGAGGCTTCTGTGTTTCGGATCCCTTAGGAAAAGAACCTGCTGGGAGAACGCCCAACACACACGTATCCTGCAGACTGGCGGACAGCACTCCCTCTGCCCTCTGCCCTCTGCCCTCTGCCCCCTGCCCCCATACCAAGGAGTCTAGCATCACCGCTTCCCACTGCACACGCACCTGCTCAGGGTCCATGTGCACCTGGCTGGGGTTTCAGATGGGGCCAGCATCCCAAGCGTGAAGGGTCTCTCCAGGTGCGCATACTGGGATTAACCTTGCTGGGATCTTTCTCCTTCTCTCCCCATCGGAGACTCGGACTTCTGCTCTCAGGGCACAGGACTCATGCACGAGGCCCGGTGTCCAGAGGAGGACATCAAGTTTGTCACTGGGGCAGAGCCAAGGTCTGAGCCTCGAGCCCCGACCCCCAGCACCGTCTCCTTCACTGGGCCACACGAGAGCCGAGCTTTCCACAGGAGGGACCAACCACAGGCCACTCAGAGATGTTCCAGGAGGTGGAGGGCCACCCTGGGCCCCTGCCCAGAACCTCCCAGATCCAGGACCCCATGCTCACTCCCATGGTGAAGGGATATTGTGTTAATCAACAGCACAATGTCATAATAAATGGCTGTTTTATGCCACTGAGGACAGGGACATTGGACATATGCAGGAACCAGACCTTTCATCAAACGTTCGCTGAGAATCAGCTGTCACTCTTTCCCACACCGCTCTCCTGAGGGGGTCACAGTGGGAGAGCCTGGGCTTCCTCAAATTTCCACTTGTCTTCATTTCCATGGAGAAAAAGATTCAATCTAGTTTGGTTTGGGGATTTTTTTTTTTTTGGCCTGTTTATGGGAGAATGCAATCCTAAATCTTTTCCAAGTTCCTGAACTTCTCAGACCATAGGCTTAGCTTAGACTATGTCTCAGTTGTGATCTTTCCAACTGAAAGAGCTCTTGGCTGTTCTGGTGTCCAGAGCCCTCATTTCCCAGTTGAGGTCCAGAGAGGTGCTGTGCCTTCTCTCAGGCCACCCAGCAAATAAGGCACAAAATAACTCATACATTGAAAACTAGGCCAGTGGGAACCATGGTCCATAGAATCAGACGCCAGTCTCCTAAAATTCAAGCTCTCTCAGATAGAGGCAGGGACGGTCTCTGGGCACTGATTCAATGGAGAAGGCGAACAGTACGGCCATAGAAAGAACTGTGCTAGGATCCAGGCCTGGTCATCGTGCTGCCCTGCACTGTCCTCGAGCCTGTCACCTCCCTCTCTGAACTGCACTTGTTCATCTCCAAAATGAGCAAGTCAGGCTCCCTCGGTGAGGGCCAGCCCTGCGTACCTGTTAGAGTTGTACTAACCGTACCTGCGCCCGCGTCTACCCCAGAGACTCTGACCTAACTCATCCAGGCCCACACAGCACTGGATTTTAGTTTTTTTATTAAAAGCTTAACAGACCCGCAGTAGAGCTCAACACATCTTCACCAACTGGATACTCCAGCATCTGAATCAAAAAGACAGTATTTCAATCACCCTGCAGCTGCCCTTTTGTCCCACCCCCGGGCTCGGCCACCCCACCGGTCCCTGGGCGCTGTTGTTTTCAACTCATGTGGATGAATCCTGCGTCCTCTTTCATTCCACAGGACACAGGGAGATTTGCCCGCGTGGGTCCACCTAGCTGTGGAGGGTTCGCTGTGATCTCTGCGTGGATGTCTCACTATGACTAGGTGACAATTTATCCACCTACTGCGGGTGGACTGGAGCCTCCGGAGATGATGAAGGGTGTGGCCGTGAACCTCTACCCCAGTGCCATCGCCGTTCCTGCGGCACACACCTGGGAGGGGAGCGCGGGGTCGGCCCTTAGCCCTGGGTTGGGTTTGGCGGTTCAGGAGGCCCGTGTGCCCGTTCGCCTCCGGTCAGCCAGGAACAGGAGGAGTTCCAGTTCCTCCACAGCCACACCACCTGGCTGTCCCTCTGTTGCACGTCCTCCATTCTGATGGACATCAATTTGCATGTCCATGATGACAAATTCCAGCGAACATTCGAGAAAGCCTGGCCGCAGCCATCTCTGCAGCTTTTCCCGGGTCCCCAGCTTGGCGCGAGGTTCAGAGGTGGCGCTAGGGATAGTTCTCCAGGTCTGTGTGAAGTCAGGAAGGAGCCGAAGACGGAGAGAAAAGCCATACAACTGCCCGGCCTGCAGAGGAGGAGGAAGGTGGCCCACCAAGGGGTCACCCACAGGACTCGGGAGGCCCCCGGGCAATCTCTCCTGGTCCTGAGTAGAACCCGCCTGCCCCGTTCTCCAGCCCCACAGAGCCTGACTTCTCTCTGGTGCTCACTCTTCGCCTCTGCCCAATGACACGGATCGGCACTGCGTTACTGCCCGTCTCTCTCAAGCAGAATACTTCCTCCCTGGGCTCACTGCCTTCAGTACGGCCTGCCACATAGTAGGTGCTCAGTAAACTACGGTGGTGTGCTTGGGCTCACACAGCCTCTGTGTGGACAGAGTGGGAAAGGGACTTGCTGCTGTCTGTCAATCCCAGAGAGGCCTCTGGCCACACACACACACACCCAGAGTCCCCAGGCCTCTCCCTTCCAGACCTCTCTCCATGTTCATGTGTTTATTTTAATCTGAATGCCCATGAACAAAGGGGTGTGTGTGTGTGTGCACGCGCGTGCGCGCATGTGTGCACATGCACTGGAGAGGCATCTTAGGAGACCCAACCCTAGGAGGGTCCAAGGGGAATGAAGACCCTGCACACTTTCCTGTGACAGTGCCGTCGCTTCCGGGAAGGAGGGAAGGAAAGAGCACAAGAAGGAAGGGCAGCGGGATCCTGGGAGCTGGCCGCAGGTCAGTGCCGCGCCCTGGGACGACTGACCCACTGATGGAACGCTATCCGATACCCTGGGCCCTGGCATCCTGGCTCCGGGCCCGGCTGCCTCTCCATATCAGTTTATTTTGGTTTCAAATAACTGAGGTGAAGAGGAGCCCTGGCCCTGGGCAGTACTTTGGAGGGGGAGGGTAGACAGAGTCCCCAAGCCCTGGGAAGAGGAAGGGGCAGCTGTGGGAGGACCTAGGTGAGCAGGGAGAAAGCTGGACTCCCCACCCACAAGGGTCAAAGTGCACCCTGACCCACACCCTCATGTGCACCCTGCACCCAGATGAGGGGGCACCCTAGAATGAGGTTCGTCACCCAGCAGTGGCTGGTAGGCACTGGCCCAAGGATGGGCCATGCAGCTGGCTCAGGGTGGCATTGGGGGTCTCCCCTCCTGTGCGTCCTGCTGTGCCTGGGTCCCCCAAGGCCTTCCTGAGCCGGGGCCATTCTCTGGAATACTGCACATATGTGCAAAGGGGGAGCCAGCGGGGTCTTGTAAGAATGTCCATCAGAATTAGCAGACCTGAGCCAGGTGCCGCCGCACACGCCTGTATTCCCAGGGACTGGGGCGGGGGGCTGAGGCCAGAGAATCCCAAGTTCAAGGCCGGCCTGGGCAACTTAGCAAGACCCTGTCTCCAGATAAAAAATTAAAAGGGCTGGCGATGTAGCCATGTGGCAAAGTGCCCCTGGGTTCCACCCCCAGTACCACAGACAGATGGATGGACATCAATCGTGGTGTCAAGTGGGGGCGGGGCTGTTTTCAGCTGCCTGCACCTTCCTGAGCCATGACTGACACTTTAGATGCCAAGGGCCCAGCCTGGGACAGACGAGCAGGACAGGCAGCACAGGCAGAGCCTTGGCCTCAGCTGGCCTTGAAGCCCCCTGCTCTAAACCCACTCCCCCGTACACTCTCCCAAGTGTCCTCCACACGAGCCCCTGTCCCTGCCCATGGCATCCTTGGGACTGCCTGTGTGAGCTGCCACTTCCTCCCAGGAGGCGTGTCCAATGGGAAAAGGACCAGGCCTGGTGGCCATGCTTGGCTAGCCCTGGGCAAATTGGCCACCCTTGCTGAAGAGGCCTGTCACATGCAATCCCAGCGCCCCCCGTGGGCCCTGGTGTCTGGGGATCCCTTGCTGTGTGACCCCAGCTGCCCCCCACCCTGTCTCTGGGTGTTTTCCCTTCCAATAGCTGAAGTGAGAGCTCCAGGGGTCGTAGGGGATTAAGTGGGATTCCAAACTGCCCGCGGGACCCAGCGGCTTCTTCCTCCCCAGGCCACCTGCCGGAGGGAAAGGCGTCTCCCACGGGCCAGGACTCATGGGTGCTCAAGTAGCCCATGGGCTGTGGCTGGACTGTCCCAGAGGCTGCTGGCTCTGGTGGCCAGCCCGGTCACTTGGTCTCTCCAAGGCTGCGTCTTGCCTTCCCTGAATCACCTGGGGATCTTGGGAACGACATTAAACCCCAAGTGGCCACAGGCCCCAGTTATCTGCTGGAGACAGGTTTTCCATAAACATAAACATGTTCAGAGCCGAGCTGGGAGCATCCTGTTGCCCTTCAACTGGACAGAAAGGCCCAACAAGGCCAGAATGTGGTAGGCCCAGCCTCATGCGTTCCCTGGGGACTGGTCACTGTGGGCTGGGCCTACATCTCCCGCTGGATGTGACAGCACCTGGCCCCTGGGCAGAGCTGGACCAGCCTCCTCCAGCCCCAGCTGCAGCTGGGGGAGGGGAAGGAAGGGGCAGGCCCAGTCCAGTCTCTCTGGAGCCAGCGCCAGACACACAGCTGCTACCCCTCTGGTACCTCTGCGGGGGCAGCCAGCAAAGGGTCCCTGCTGTCAGCCTTTCACCCTGGGCCTTGCTCCTCGGGGAATCCTAAGTGGCCAGCCACGTGGCGTTACAGAGGGTCAGCCAGACCTGGCCATCCAAGGAAGGCCAAAACTCTATCCACCAAGGCAGACTGAGCTCTGGGTGGGAGGCGGGGCTGAGAACACAGGGTGGAGGGCCGGGCGAGGTCCTGAGGGAGGCCTGACTCTGTCACCTTGACATGGGAGGGACAGGCAGAGCACTCACTTACCAGCACCCCTCCTGGGGTCTGGGCACTTGCCAGGCCATCCAGAGAGGGAGGCGTTATATGCTGATGTTAGGGACAGGAACGGAGGCCCACCTGGCCCTGCCCAGTCTCAGTGACAGTGAGACCCAGCCACAAGGCCTGTGTCCCATGGAGAACCGAGGGAGCGGGCAGTGAAGAGCTGGGCGGTCTCACAGCCCATGAGCAGCCCTCTTGTTGAGGAAGGGGAAACCTTCCTTGAGTCTGGAGGGGGCAGAGCTGTGGGGCCTGGCAGGAGCCATGGCTCTGGCCCTGTGCAGGGCTGTCGCTGCCTCTCGATGCCTCCCATGCAGATGGGCTGGGTGGAGGGCCATGGCACGTCCCCAGGGGCCTCTTTACCTTCCTGGTGCCCTGTCCTGTCACTCTGGGGCAGTTCCCCCACTCCTCCTACAGGAACTCCACAGGTGGCCGGCAGGGGAACCTCTCACCGGGGTTAGAGCAACCCAGGAGCAGCGCGGTGACCCCCTTGAAGGTTGGGGGTTCTTCTTTAGACTGGATAGGGGGACGCTGGGGGGCCTCATCAGCTGCACCTGTGCTCCATGGTGCCTGCGGCCACCCTGGCCTCACCCCGGAGGAACAGAGGGTGGGCATCCAGCTGCTGGCAGGATGGCCGATGCATGAATCCGTTTTACAGAAAAGTATTAAACGTCAGATCAAATCCCTTATTCTCTGAGTTCTCCGCCTCGTCCCAGTGTGTTTGCTGATGCACATGTGTGAGCTGCTGGATCATGACGTATGTGCACGTGTGTGTTCTGAAAACTGACAGCTACACACGCAAGGGACACCTGACATGATGGAAAGCACTTGGGCCTGACCCGTGTGCTGGTCTTGGCCCTTCTGGAAAGTTCCATGTGACCTGGGCCAACTTTTCCCCTCTCTGGATCCCTGAGAAGTGGAGGAAAGACTGCACTATGGCGCTGTTACGAGCACTACACTCTGAACTCAGCGCCTCTGAACCTGCAGAGTGGCGGTAACCTGCTGTCCCCGGAGCCTGGCTCTCTGAGAGCACAATGCCAGTTGGGAACCAGTGGGAATTCAAATCTGCCTGCCTAAGTATTCCAAATGCAGACATTTAAAAATGGGATAATTATTTTGGAAGAGTCTGTGAATCTTGGGACTCGAGCTTCGTGGCAGATGGTTTCGCAATAACTGCCCACTGCGCAGGTCCAATGGGCACGCGCGCCTGCGGCTGCGCTGGATACAGGGGCACACTCGTGCACACACTCGGCCTGGAGCAGGCGCCAGTGAGACCTGCCCCCCAGGAAGCTCGGGGACCCTGGCGCGCACTGCCACCGGGTGAGGAGGGCGAGGGCTTGAGGCGGTCAGGCCTTCCTTCGTCCACTCCTGCTGCCCTGGGAGATGGGGGCTCCGTGCCTCGGACGTGTTTGCAGGTTCCCATGGCTAACGTGGGCCAGGTCCTTCTTTCTTCTCCTCCCTTACTTCCCGGTTCTCTCGTTGCCATGGAAGTCGGCCATCCCCGACAAACTGCACCGTCATAGTTCCTGGCCTGGCCCCGGAGAGCGTGTGACCCAGGCACCCAGGCCCAGCGCCCACGACCGCCAGGCATGCCCTGAGGGTGGCTGCCCTCCATCTGCCAGGCCCTGCCAGCCTGGACTCCTGGGACAAGGCTGACCGGGCCGACGCATGGCCTGCCCTGGGCCCTCCTGGCCGGCCAGCTGGCCTCTCAGACTTTGCCCTGCCCTCAGGGCCTCTGTCCCTATATTTAGTGTCACTCTTGGCCCAACAGGATCGAGTGTCTGTTGTGCCACACGTCCTGGGATAATCTCCAGGCCCCGATGCCCAGTGGCCTGGTTTCTGACCCAGGGGTCTGTGGGGCCCGAGGGTTGCTGCTTCCCGAGAGGGAATGGCCGATCTTATGGAAATAAAAACAGGCGCCCGTTGATCACATCCCCTGGTCTTCTTTGTGGGGTCTCCGGGGTCAGCCCCAAATACCTCCCGCAGCCTGATTTCTCTGTCCTGCCTCCACCTGTGCCCCACCTGATGCCGAGGGGCCCTTTTGGCCCCGGCAGGTCCAGAGAGCAGTTGGTGTGGGGCTGTGGGTGCAGGGCTTGGCTCCATCTTCCTGCCACCCCTGGGGGCTGCTGGGTGGCTGCCCCATCCTTCCGTGCCCAACTTCTCACCCACAGGAGAGGAGTCACGGCCGCAGCACCCTTCTCCAGGGGCGTGGGGCGGGTGGGGGTGGGGTGGGACTGAAATGAGGCGACACACTGAGCAGGTTCAGGGCAGAGGTTGCTCCAGGCAAGTGCCCAATAAATGTAACTATTATTATCTTTATCCTCAAGGCGCAAATTATACGCCATAACCCAACCAAGAGCCAGAGGCCAACACGTGGGGCGGATGGCCCTGCCCAGGGGAGGCAGCCGGGCAGAGGAAGAGGGAGCAGGCGGGGCAGGGAGGAGGGGTGGGGGAGGGGAGCCAGTGCAGGGGGCAAGGGGACCGTGGGGTCCTGGAGGAAGGATGGGTGAGGATGTGAGGGAGAGGGAGGTCGCGGGGGAGGGATGGAGGATCGGCAGGAGTTAGAGGAGGCGCGGAGTGAGCATTGGAAGCTCAAAGCTGCCAGGCTGCCTTTGTCCAGGGCACAAGTGGGTGCATGCAGGTCCAGGGCACAGCACAAGTCCAGGCCTACGGGGACTCCCCCAGGAGCTAGATGTGGCTGGAGTGCAGGGGGCAGGGTAGGGCAAAGTGGGGTCAGCCCTGTGTCAGGGCACTCGGCCACCGTCACCAAGGGTTGGATTGCATCCTATGAGAGGCAAGGGGCAGTGTCTAAGCAGCTCAGAATTCCTGACCTCTCCTCTCTCATTTCTGCGGCTCAGAGCAAGGGGTCTTAGTGGGCGGGGTCAGAGCAGGGACCTGAGCCTTGGGAGGGAGCTCATGGGTGGGACAAGCCTGTGGAGACAGCTCCTGGGGCAGGGGGCTTGGGTGGGGGAAGTCCAACCCTGGAAGTTGGTAGAAATCTTGGGAGAGGTTTTGGATGAAGGATCCCAAAACCCGATGAGCCATGGAGCAAGACCGTGAGGGCAGAGGGCCCCGTGGACACCTGGCTGCACCTGCTGGGCCTTGACTCTCCTCTTGCTCGGCAGAGGCAGCTGGAGAAGCTGGGGCCTGCGTGTGGCATCTGGGCCTCCGACCTGCCCTCCCCGTCTGTGTCTGACCTGGCAGGGAAAGTCCTCTAAGTCTCATCAAGGGGACAGAGCCCAAGGAGGATTAAGACCTCGTTCCCTTTTCAGACCACACTGGCCACCCAGGTGCTGCCAGACCCAGGCTCCACCCTCTGTGCCCAGCTGGTGGCATAGGGTGTTGCCTGGGCTTCCTTGTTCCCAGGACGCCCCGAGGCCCTGCCTCTTGCCATCTGCATTGGATAAGGCTTGCGCCTGGGTCCAGACAATGGGAGGCTCCAGTGGACAGGACGGGGACAGGACCGGGTGTTTCTTGCTCTAGCTTCTCTGTCTCGGGACACAGTTCTGACAGGCTCCTCCATGGCTGCAGCCCCAGCTGGACAGCTTCTCACCAGTCCCCAGGGTCACCACTCCCTCTCCCTGCCTCCTCTCTTGGTGCCCTTGACCCTGTCCCTTCAATAACTTCTCTTTGGTCAACCTTTCTCATGAGCCTGGCGTGTCTTACCTAAGGATCATCAGATCAAATATAGAAATGTCTAGTTAGATTTAAATTTCCGATGAATGACAAATACTATCTGTAGTATAAGTGTGTCCCAGATACTACGTGGGATATACTTACACTACATGATTGCTTGCTGCTTACCTGGAGTCCACACCTTGGCTTTCTTTCTCAATTGGACGATCGTCTCTCAGGGCTCCTGGCTGATACCTCATCATGCCTCTCAGCCACCCCCGACCACAGGAATAGCTGGGTTTGGAAATCCCACACCCTGTCACACAGAGACAGAGTGGGGACTGCTTCTTTCTTAGCTGACAGTGGGAGTCCTCCCTGCAGCAGGAACCGTGGCCTAAAGAAGAGGAGGGGAGGAGATTGACTAAGACATTCCCTAGCTTCCTGATATCAGCCCCAGATGCCCCCAGGCCCATAGGCAGATCCTGGCCATTGGCAGTGGCATGGGAGAGGTGTGAGGGGGTTGGGATGCAGGACAAGGGCATCTAGAGAGGGAATTAGAAAGATGTGGGGCCTTTATCTGTACTGCAAACTGGCTTTGGAGTCAGGTTGAATTCCCTTTCGGTCTCCTCCTAGCCATGTGACTCTGAGCCTCAGTTTCCTCATCCATAAAATGGGGATAATGATTCTTATAGGCAGCCAGTCTGCAGTGAGATTAAAGGGCCTGTGTGCTCAGGACACTCAGACAATGAGAACAGGAAGCACCAAGACCCCGCCTCTCGCCCTCTGCCTTGCTAAGGCTTGCTGCTGTGACAAATGAACCCCAAGACTCAAACAGCGGGGTTTCCTTCCTCCTGAAACATCTGCATGTGGCCAGGATCTTCACCAGCAAATGCTTCTCCTCCCTTCGGTGATTTGGACCCAGGCTGCCTCTATGGGCAGCTCGGCCAGGTCAGAAGTGTGTCTCCCCGGGGTTGTAGCTTTCGTCTGTGTTAAGCTAGAAGAGGAAAGAGGACGGAGAATGGGTTGTGGGACTTTCCACCACCTGGGCCTGCAAGAGGTGAAGTCACTAATGCTCACATCCTGCCAGCCAGAAGGCAGGCAGTGGGGCCACTTCTCACCAGGCAGCCTGGGAGAGGTTTTCTAGATGTGCTCCCAGGAAGAAGGGTCAACGGGTTTGGTGGCCGCCAGCAGACTCAGCTACCTCCACTCCCCAGGAACTAACACTGCTAACAGCACCCGAAGGAAAGAGCCCCAGGAGGACAGTCCTGGTAGTCCTCCTGTGAGGCCATGAAGGTGAAATATAGGCCATTCATGGTGAAGGTTCCCTAGAAACAGGTCCTGAGATGAGGATTTAAGTTCTGATTGTGTGTTTAAGAAGAGATCTGTATCAGTATGTTTTCCATTGCTATAACAAAACACCCAAGGCTGAGTGATTTATAAAGAAAAGTCCAACCCTGGAAGTTGGTAGAAATCTTTGTAGGCTGAAAGTCCAAGCCTGGGAAGCCCATAGGTTGGCTTCTGATGAGGGCCCCTTTGGGTCACATCCCGGCCGATGGCATCATGGCTGGTAAGCATGCAAGAGGGAGAGATGGCATGACATGACAGAAAGCCAGAGAGAGATTCAAGGGCCAGGCTTGCCATTTACCACAATTCACTCTCCGCAGAACTAACTGGGTCCCACGAGAACTGTGTCAATCCCTTCCTAAGAGCAGCACCCGGGGACCTCACCACTCCCACCTCTTGGCTTCCACCACCTCAGTACAGCCACACTGAGGACCAAGCCTCCACCACTTAGGGGACAAGTCACAGCCAAACCATAGCAGGACCCCACAGAACATAGCAAACGAGCAGAGGAGTGAGACGGGAGCAGAGCTTTGCCCGCTGAGGGAGTCCAGAGCTGGGCGTTGCGCTCCCTCTGGGCCCGGCCCCCGTGGCCTCTATACCGGACAGAGGAGGCTCGGGCAAGGTGATTAAGGACTGCAGTGGAAGCCTGGGCTGTGTGCCCAGTGGTCATGCTGAGGGCACATGAAGGGGACTCCGGTATCTGCGACGCTCATCACATGCAGTGGACACCTGATTCCCTCTCGACTGGTCCCATGAAGGTCAAGGCCAGCATTAACTCCCAACCTGTGGTGGTGTCCGTCACCTGCACCCCTGTCCCATGACTCGCAGCAGCAAGGTCACAGAGCTGAGAGGCCACCGTCTGGCCGGGGGTGGGACAGGCACGGACCTGCGTGGGAGCTGCTGCTGTCCTGTCGAGACCTTGGTTCCCTTCACCCCACGGTCCAGACTCTGTTCACCACTGAACAGGTGGCTTTGCGCTACCGGTCCTGAGGTGACGGCCTGCACCCCGAGGCTCACAGCTGGACCACCAGAAAGAGACAGCCCCAGCTGGGGTCATCCCTACTTTGCAGAAACCAACGGGATTGAGGCCTGTAAAGGCCAAGAGGAGGACCCCCAGCCCCGTCCCCAGGGTGACTTCAGATGCTTTGAAAGAATCGACCAAGCACCAAACCCTGTGCCTGGTGCCCGATCCCTGGGTCAGAGGTGCCCACAGGTTTCCGCCGGGAAGATGGGTGCGTTCATTCTCCCTCCTGCTGAGACTCTGCAGACAAGGACACAGGTCAGGGCTGCTCCAGAATCTGCAGGGCCAGGCGCAGAGAAAGTGCAGGCCCTGACTCGGAAACGACGGCGAGTTTCAAGATGTGGCGGCGGAGGCTTAACCAGGGGCCTCTGCGCGCAGGGCCCTGTGCGTCTGCGGGTCAATGAGGTCTTGCTGCAGAGGCTTGATCAAGGGCCCTGCTCAGGAAAAGAGGGCAGCAAGGTCACAAGCACAGCCTTTCAATGGCGCCCGTCCTGGGGGAGGCCAGGCCCGTCCTCCAGAGTCATCGAGAAGGTTGGCAGCTGCTGCAGGTCCTGGGGGGTAGAATAGGTTGCTCTCAAAAGGGCCAGCCAGTCCCTTGACCTTGGCTGAGTCCCAGAACCCTGCTCCCAGGTCAGAGGCATTGGTGGCCTGGGCCCAGGACGAGAGGCACAGGCTGGATAAGAACAGCAGGCACAGGGTGACACACAGGGACATGCCATACCTTCCTGAAACCTGCCAGGGCTGGAGCAAACCACCACCCAGGGTACCAGTTGCTGGGTCCCGCCTCCCCCCAGGATGAATGCTGCTCTGAGGGCGGGGCGGGGGGGGGGTCCTGTCATGCAGCTCTCGTACCCAGCATGCTCTCCTGGGCAGGTGGGTGGCCCTCCTCCTGCCCCACATCCCTCAGGAGAATCCCTCAGGGTTTCCACCAAGTATGTTCCCTTGGCCGGAGCTGGGACAGGTCAAGTGGTGGCTTGAAACTCACCTTGACCTTGCTTCTCATGCAACTGGTCCCGAGAGCCCCCAGGATCTTGCCTGAGTCCTTCCTGTGTCTCCTGGGGTCTTTCCTGGACCCACTCAGATGTGCTGGGGTCAGGAATCTGGGAGGGCTCGACTGGGTTCTCTTTGGGCCTCACAAGGCCAGAGTCAAGGCCCAGGCTGTGCTCTGGAGGCTCTGGGGAGAATCCACTTTCCTACGTCCCCAGTGGGTTGCCAGCTCAGCTTCTTGTGGCCGTGGGACCGGGGTCCCGTTCTCTTGCTGACTGTTGGCTGGGGACCGGTCTCAATTCTAATGGCTTCTTTGGACTTTGCCCATGACCCTGGCATTTCAGCACAGAGAAGGATGCACTCTGTTCCCAGCGAGTCCAGCCCCCACTTCGGATTCCTCACCCGCATCTTCTGCCACCAGCAGAGGAAACGCTCTGCCTTTAAAGGGCCCGGCCCAGGGATCATCTCAAGGTCCACTGACTCGTGACCTCGAGTCCCTCTGCAAAATCCCTGATGCCGTGGAGGAGACCATACTCCAGGGGAGACCGCGCACGTTGTCACAGCCCCAGGGACCTTGGGGGAAATCACAGGGCATCCTGGATCCTGGTTCCCTCCCTCCCCCCATAGCTCCTGCTCTCTCTCCTCACTGACGTCCCCAGCTGCTGCCAGCATTTTTAAGAACATCAGGATCCCTAAAAAATGATATGAAAAAGGGCCAAGTCCAGGCCACCCAGGAAACTGACAGGAGACACCCCAGCTGGAGACTCTCAGCACCCCCACCCCCGGGTTTGGGACCTCTCCCTCCAATCCCGGTGGATGGAGACCACCCAGGGTCAGGTATGCCTGAGGGAGGTTTTGGAAAGGGCCAAGACGCCCTCTTGTGGGCTGTGAGGGGACAGCTCCGATGGACAGGGGTGAAGCGGGGGTGGGTGACCCAGACAGAACTGGCCCGTTTCCCTGCTTAGCTGGAAAGCATGCAAGAGAGGCCTGGCCTTAACCACAAATGGCTGTGGACCAAATAATGGTCACAAAAGCTGGAATGCAGAATAACAGTAATAATAGCAACTGGTGTTAAGTGCTTTGTGTATATTGACTAATTTAATATCTACCACAGCACTAGAGGTAGCCATGACAGTAGCCCCCCCCTCCCCAATTTTCTGCAGTTTCTCTTCCACGGTTTCAGTTACTTGTGACCACTGAGGTCCAAAAACAATAAATGGAAAATTCCAGAAATAGATATTTCACACGTTTTTAATTGCATGTCATTCTTTTGAGTAGCATGATGAAATCTTCTGCTATCCCACTCCATCTAGCCTGGGACACCAATCATCCCTTTATTCAGTGTATCCATGCTGTGTATGCTACCCTCCTGTTGGTCACTTAGTAGCTGTCTCCTCTTATCAGATTGGCCATTGTGGTATCACAATGCTCGTGTTCAGGTAATGCTTCTCTCACTTACTAGTGACCCCAAAGCAGGAGTAGTGATGCTGGTGCTTTTACTACAGTACATTTCTATAATTGTTCCATTTTATTATTATTGACTGGGTCTAATTTATAAATCAACCTTTATCATAGGGTGTGTATGCCTAGGAGAAAACCCCATCTACGGAGTTCTCAGTACTATCACAGTTGCAGGCATCCGCAGGTGCCTTGGAATGCCTCCTCCAGGGATAAGGGGGACCCCCTGTGTTGTTAACCTCGTTTTACAGAGGAAGAAACAGGCTCAGTGAGGTGAAGACTCAGGTGAGGTCAGATGGTTCATGATGAAAGAGAGATGGCGGACTTGCCCTTTGTGATCTTTTCGTGCCAAAGTTCACAGCTCTGTCAGTGCCGTGATTGGGATCTGGAATGCTCTCCAAAGGCTCCTGTGCTTGGCACTCCTGGGGGGTGGCGGGACCCTTAGGAGTCCTAAAGCCCCCTGCCTACTGGGGGGTCCTCGGGCCTTGAGGGCTTGTGGGACCCCAGTCTCTTCCTTTTTCTCTCTTTCTCATCCTGATCTTGAGGGAAGCGGCTCTGCTCGCCATGTGCAGCGGCCCCGTCCAGAGGCCTAAACGCCACAGGTCATGGGTGGGAATGTCCACACCTGAGAGCCAGATCAGCACTCCCTCTTCACCAGTTGACCACCTCGCTATTTGCTATCGTTATGGAGAAAGGACGCAATCAACCTCTGTCCCAACCTTAGTGGCTCTAATGACCTGAGACTCCCCACATGGGGAAGCAGTGGGGCTGGAACTACGGGGGGGGACACTACGGGGGACAGATCTGGACTCAGCCCAGGGGAAGGCCGACGCCCCATGGTCAGATTGGCCTAGGGCAGGAGGACACTGTGGAAGGGGCACGATGCCTGTCACGGGATCTGTGCAGGCGAAGATGCCGCTCTCACTTCTGAGATCCTGGAGTGACACAACCGTCCCGAGCCTCTTGTCCGGGTTCTCACTAGGTTCTCGTGCTCCGTCTTACGAGGGCGTCCCCAGCACCCAGGTGAGCACACCGAGACTCGAAGACATTTGTGACTCATGACGCCTACCCTCGTTGGTGGGGGAGTCGAGACTCAAACCCAAAGCCATGTCTCTCCAGACCTCTGCTGGTGACCATGCATCGATTGAGTGCCTGCTGTGTGCACTGCTATCCTAGACACCGGGACTCTAGCAGGACCCATCTGTCCCCGTCCTTGCCCTCATGGAGGTCACATTCCAGCTGGGAGGGAGATGACTCAGAGTGCCGAGGGGTGACCGTAATTGGTCAGGGAGCCACTCTGAGGAGGCGACTTCTGAGCAGAGATCTAGAAGGCAAGAGGGAGAGGGCACTGTAAGAGCCGGGAGCCTGGCAAGGTGGACAGAGTGAACCACGGGTGCAAAGGCCCTGTGGTAGGGAAAGGCGACAGAAAAGCCAACGTGAGAGGGATGGCCACGGCGGGGCCCCATCAGCGGGAATTTGACTTCATTGGTGATTTAACGCAGTGGCCACCAGCCCCAGTGACACGCGGGCTGCACCTCCAGGCACCTTGTTGTTAAACTGTTAGGAGCCTGAAGTCAACCACAGTGGGAGAATTCCCGCCATGGAAACTGGCCAGGGCCACAAGAACAGCTTTCCCCCTGGACAGCCCGTTGCTGAACAGTCACCTGCAGGTCACTGGTTTTCTGCAGGGAAATGGGGAGGTTGGATTTTCTGAGAAGTGCTCCCCCTGGTGGCCGGGTGGAGAACGGCCTGCAGGGGCCTGAAGCCGCAGGCGCAGGGAAGCGGTGGCTCAGTGCAGGTTGGGGAGACCGCGGCCAGGCCGGTCAGCGGAGGGAGGAGGAGGGACTCTAGAGGTCTTGGAGGCAGAATCAATGGCCTTGCAGGGACAACTTGCGTCCCAGGTTCAGAGCAGGAAGGTGACATGGCTTGAACCCAGTCGGCCAGGCCTGACTCCCCTGTCCCCCCAGACCTCGAGTTAAGGCTCTGGGACAGGAGGAAACAGGGATGTCCCCGGCTGCCCCTGACCTGGCCCCTGAGGTCAGAGTGCCTGGCCCTCTGTCCTCTGGAGGGTGGTTCCTCTCAGGTGCTGCCGGGAGGGGACTGAGGCCCTGGACACTGGAAAGCCCAGCCCCCGGTGGACCACGACCCGGGGTCTGACTTCTCTCCCACGGAGGTCGGGTCTCAGGAGAGCTGGGCCAGGGATGGCCTGGAGTATCCCAGGACCTGCAGGTGACTCCCCAGCCCAGAACCTTCCTGGGGCAGGGTAAGGATGAGCCGGGGGCAGCAGGACTGGGCCCTGGGCTGCTGCCGGATCTGCCTTCTCATGTGCCAAGGACGGAGGGAAGGGCCAGGTGGACCGTGGAGATTCTCCCTCAGTGAGCAGGGCAGGAGGCCAGAAATGCCTGTCTCGGAAACTTCAGGTGGAATCAGCAGACCAAGTTTGTTTCCTCACCCTCCCTCTACTCTGCCTGTGAGCAACCTGAGGCTCAGAGAGGCTGTGTGCTTTTCCTCAGGTCACACAGCTGGTCTCCCATTGACTCCACAGCTGCAGCCTCACTCTGCATCCTGAGCATCCCTTGGGCGGGAGACAGGCTGGCTTTGTCCCTCTTGGGAACATTTGGGGCTGCTTTGAGGATGAGGTTGGAATTCTAGGCAGGGAAGCTGGATCTGGTCCCTTCTCTGGCTGCACCTAATGATCCAGGCCCTGAGGGTTCAGGCCTTTGGAAACGTGGGTTTCACTGGTTCTACTGCCGTTGACGGGCAGCTCTGCCCCAGGGCACAGAGGCTGAGCAGAGGTCAGAGACCTGGGCCGTCCCCAGCTGTGTGTCCTCAGCAGGTAGCCGAAGCCTGTCCGTGGGAGAGAGAGAGAAGCAAGTGGGGCCGTGCAGGTGTCCCTGGGGCAGCTCGGAGGGCCTGGGAGGAGCGGGCCAGAGTGGGATACCCAGGCCCGGACTTCCTGGGCCCCGTGTGTGCTCGCGTGCGTCTGTGCGCTGAAGAGCCACGTTCCGTTTTCTCCTCTGCTATCCCGTCTTGCAATTCTCATGATCCTTAATGACAGCCTGGCGTTTTCACTGTGCACCGGGTCCCCCAGGTGATGTGGCAGCCCTGCTACCAGGTCCTAACCCCGGACGCGCTCCAGGAGAAGAGCCAGGTGCTGACTATAATAGGGCCACCCCTGATGATGACTGGCACCCGCCAGGGCTGACAGGAGAAACGGCCCCTCCCAGCCTCATCTATGTGTTCTCTGGGCACTTCATGGGACACTTCAGGCCAAAATAAGCCCTCACTGGGAAGCACATGGTTGTGCCAACGCCCCAGCCTCGTGCCTATGGCTTTCGGGGGCCACGTGGGTTAGGGACCTCAGCTTCTGGGCAGCGAGGTTCTGGGGTTTGGGAAGGAATGCTGCAGGTAAGGTGTCCCAGCACCTGCTTCAGGCCACAGGAGGGTCAGAGATGCTGATGGAGTCCCTCAAGAACAGCCTCCCAGCTCTATATCCTGGCTGATAGGACCCTGTTGATCCATTTCCAAGTCCTAGCAACTCAACTTCCCGAATGGTCTGGATCTCGACTCCCTGGAAGGACGACTCAGCTATTTCCCAACAGTGAGACCTTGGGCAAGTTATTCAACCTCTCTGCGTCTCAGTTTCCCCATTTGTGAAATATCATCTTCGACCTTGTGAGTGGGTCCTGAGGATTAAATTAACCCTCCACAAAAAGTGCGTGGAACCTGGTGCCCAGATGCCACCCCTGCTGCTGGCCCCCTCCACTCCTGCCCTCTGAGTCAGGGAGTATGCTCAAACGCACAGTATGACCAGGACACTCCCTCTGAGAGCTGCCCACTGCTCTCTGGTGAAGTGCAAAGCCCGAGCCTGGCTCCCGGGGCTTCCCTGGTCCCCTAACCCTAACCCTTGGTCCCCGGAGCAGCAGCCAGGTGCGGGCCCCAGGGTGGGGCTGTCAGTCAAGCGCAGGGC